CAGCACAGTATATTTGCTGCTCCTTTGTAGAGTGCACATCATTGCAAACCTGATGAGGACTATATGCCGAAACGTTGTTTCAACTACGAAAATGTGTTCGAACGTTGCAGTGTAAATAGAAGGGAGCGAGTCCGCTCCATCTGTAATTCTGTATGAAACTGCAGGAGGCCTCACCGCTTCTAATCTATTTACTGTTTTCTCACAAAGTCCCGGAACGCAGGCGCAAGTCTGAGTTGCCCGGGTTAATGCACTCACCCTCGTTCCTGAGAGCTGGTCTTCGAGAGGAATAAGTGGTGTCGCTGCTAAGAAGCGTGCTTGTAGCTCGCCGACGCTGCGCTCAAGGATGTCGGCATTGGGGTTGCTGATGTCGAGGGAGTCGGCCCGCGTGATGGTGACATTAGAACAGTGATCGCACGCTATGGGTAAAAACAACAATCGAAACAGAAATTTCCATCGTTGACACCCTCGGGTCTCTTTGATCTTAGAAGTAGACATTCAATTGAGCTCCTATAGGCATGCAGAGCATGAGCACATAGGACAGAAAGGTTTCAAGCTGTCCAATCGAGTGCCTGATGCCCAAGGCCAGAGCTACTTACGACAAGAAGACGAAGATTCTACCGTAACTCTGAGTTTCACGAACATCGCACTTATCAGACAACTGTTGTCCGATGATCGTGCATGAAATTGTTTTTTCGTCTTACTTTTATCCAACACATCTAATGATTGCATGTATGCAATAAAAAAAAAAACACTAACCGACTCCTAATTCGCCTGGGGAGCATGGTGACAGTGATGGAACCTGGCATAAAGAAATTTAGTAGTTCTACATCTTGTCCAAGACAAGATCTGGCAGCGTATCTGTGTGCGCGTGCCAGCGTGTTTGTGTTTGTGCGTGTGTGTTTGTGTGCGTGTGTGTGTTCTTGTATGTATTTGTCTTTTTGGTGTTTGTGTATGTATGTATTATTTGACCTGATCATTTTGAACACATCTCAAAGCCTTATCGAGCACCAGAACTACACAATACTCACTTGTACATCCGGAGTCTGCGATATCCGAGTGCTGTGGGTGACATTGGTCACAGCGACGGCCCGTTGCTCCAGGGTCACACTGACACACACCGCTGGTTTTGTCACACACAGGGGTCACGGCCGCGACATGGCAACCGCACACTGCATGGAACAAAGGGGAGAAAAAAAGCAACGGTAGGCCCATCAGCAACGTGGAAAACCTCAAGAAGACTGCTAGCAAATACTCAACCGTATTTGCACTGTTGTCTGAAGTTCTTTACTTGAAGATGTAGTGTTTTAACAATTCAAGGTAGTTTCATGTACTCATGTCAGGGTAAATGTTTCCACGCATCTCAATAACGGAATGAAATACTGCGCGTAGGTTCCTAGTACTACCTGCCTTACTTAGTACATGTACTTGGCAGCATGATTTTAAAAATTAGTGATTGCATTTCCCCTGCATTTCTCTTTCTCCCTTCCTCCTCGCTCACTCTAACTGTGTCTGTGTCTGTCTCTACTTCTGTGTCTCTATTCCTCCCTCACTCCCTCTTTCTCTTTCTTTGTGCCTGTGTCTGCATCTCTCTTTCTCGTCCAATAACTCCCCCTCCTTTCTCTTCTGTAGGTGCAGCATGGCTTACTTCTGCATCCGGATGCGGTGAAGTTATAGTAGGTGTCCGCACATCCCTGGCAGTGCATTCCTGTAACGCCCGGCCTGCAAGGACACTGCCCGCTGGTCTTATTACAGGTCTGATTGTGACTGCCGGTGACATCACACTGACATGGCACACAGCCTGCTGCGTGATCATAAGTGCCATCCTGCAGCGGAACACATCAATCCAGAAAGCAGATTCTCTCCAAGACATGACATGTGGGCAACCTAGAAGTGCACACACTCAGGACTGGGCAACGTATTCTGATATCTATGTATGATGTCAAGGAACAATTGGAAGGTCAAACACAGAAAGCTTAATGTTGTTCAGTCTAGAATTTTGGAGGTCACAAAGTCAGCGATGCAGTGCTTGCCGAGCGAGAAAATCATTTGCTATTACAGTCTAAAATAGGAGAAATCACAGAAAACACATTTATTACTGACTCAGTATCCGAGCTATTGTATTCTTACCACGCAACCGCTGCACTTGTCTCCAGTCCTATTCGGCAAGCAGTCGCACACACCGGTTGTTCGATTGCAGATCAGGTTCCGGCTGCCAGCCATATTGCACCCGCACGCTGGAGAAACCAAGAGGAAGAGGCGTCAAGAGATTTTTTTGGCGTTGACTATATCACTGTGGGTAGGGGAGTGAAGAAAGAGAGGGTGTGAGCGTCTCAGCAAAACACACTGAATGCTCCGAGTAACAGTTTGTCACCACGCCATTACTCAACAGATATGCGTAAAAAGAACCTGCGCCTGAAAGCACACCTTGCAGGCAATCAATTTCATTGGCTAACACCGCCCATTAGTACATCAGCAGAGATCCACATATCAGATGATCAGACGAGCACGTCAGAAGCTGGGGCGTCGTAACACATGGTACGACCAGTATGACCATGGTTGTACCACTTTACGTCCAGGATGGTTCGCCCAGAGCGCCTGTAGAGTGCTAAAAGTTTCCCTTTTGGACAAAAAGTCCGATTCTCCCCCATGCCCCCCCCCCCCTGGTAACCCGGTCGTACCACTTCCCACTGCCCTGTGACGCCCCTGACTGCTCAATGAAAGTACTCTGTTGGCCGAAAAATCCTACCCCCCCCCCCCCCCCCGCCTCCCCCTGGGACACCCCGAACCCCCGGTCGTACCACTGCCCACTGCCCTGTGATGTCCCTGACTGAAGGATCCCATACCTTGGCATGACTGAGCTCGTGCATCACCGAAGAACCTGTCTGCACAGTCCTGGCATGTAGGTCCGGTGGTCATCGGCGAGCAGTTCAGGCACTCTCCCGTCAGTATGTCGCACACGTTTGTATTGTTGTTGCACTGACACGGTGTGCAGATGCCGGTCGAGTGACGATAGAACCCTCGAGAACACCTGTGTACAGAGACAGGCATGTGAAGTGTAACATTTACTTCAATACAGTTGTTTAAAAAAATTCAAAAATCAAGTATTTCTCTTACAAGAGAGAGAAGGCATATCGATACCGCATAAAAGACTTCACAACAACTTGTAAGAGAGCCATTCAAACTGATTTGCATGCATCAGTAGAACCATTGCTAGCCTGGAGTATGAAGTATGAAGGCACAGTCAGACAGTGGAAAGAAAGCAATCCTGGTCTTGGTTATCCATATGTCCGATGCTGTGCCTATTGCATTGCAATTACATTGTGATACTAACGATCAGCAATGTACAGGAACATTTCCACCTACACCCATGCTAGTTAACTGGATCTTCTCAAACTGGAGGTTCCCAAAGGCAAACAAGTCATGAACTCAATTCATGGAAATCCTCGTCAGCGCACAATGCAATGCTTCAAGTGCCACATTCGCCGAAGAGCTTACGTTTGACAGGTGTCGCCTTCGTAACCATGGTTACATTGTGTGCACTGGACTGGTGCGCATGAACCACCAGCACACTGCTGACTGCATGTGTTACTGTGTACACAGAAACACACACAATAGAATAGATACACTGAATAACGTTACCTGTCCATACATGTTATCACTATTACACACACTTGCGTTTCTGCAGCAACTGAGTTTTACGGTTTTAACTGATCATCAGACAGCAACCCGTTACCATTATTATGTGTTTGTATAACCACATCAGCAGGATGCAGAGCCTACAATTTTCTTTGCTGAATAGCTTTGACGAGAGGCGACAGGAGAGTAACTGGTGGGGGCGTGGAATGCAATGCATAATAGAACAACCTGCATGTAGTGCAATTGGAGACATGCACATTGATAAAGCAGCATGCTCTTCTATGCAGGGACAAGTAGTGGGCCCTGGGGAAATTGGGAGACTTTCAGCTAGGGAAAACTGCTATATCTATGCAACATAATATACCCATGGCCTGCCTCCACCGAGATCAAATCACACTCTGTCCGCCAATGGTAGCTGGCGACTTACTCAACAGCTTGAGGCGTGCTGCACGGGCATATCTTGCAGTCGCCTGGTGTGCCGGCCGTTGCATCGCCATAGAAACCCGGCAGACACGTCTCACATTGGAGTCCAGTTGTGTTGTGTGAGCATTCCTAATGGCAAACACCAAAAGAACGATGTCATTCAGTGGGTGAATAGAATGCAGGGGCATTCATTTTGGCTGAAAACCACTATGGACAGAATCATGGAGAGAAGATGCTCAGCATGTAATTGTTCTCGATCCACAGATGCAACCAGGATCAGAACACAAGAACCGCGACTAGTTTAGTTGCAGCAATACCATTCATGGTCTATTGCACGATTTTACCCTGCACGATCTCGCACAATACATGTAATTGAGTGAAATATGAATTTAATCTGATCTGTCCACACACATATAAGCTTCACAGCTACGCCACAGATGGGAATCGCAACAAAAAAAATATGCTGCCTCCTCCACAGCATAACACTGGAGACAAGAATCGGAGTGCTGAGACAGAAGGTGGAGTATTCCATAGAGGAGACAGGGCATGCAGGTCTTTTCTCTTCAAGCTTACTATGCATGTTCCATTGGCTTCGTGGCAGTCGAGAGCGTGCACGTTGCAGATACAGTCCACACAGATACCGCGTGGTTCCACTGCAGTTGCGGTGCTTGGAAAGCGCATGTAGTTAACATTGCACCACTGCATAGCACAGGAGAGACATGTAAAGTCACGGCCACAGTAGGTACTTGGAAAAAGGTATTGTATAATTTTGGACAACAATACATTACTATTTTATTAGTATAACGAGATTCGGGGCTGAAGACACATACTATGCTACATTGTTATGAACAGATAAAAGTGTAACCACACATTGATCAGCCTCAAGCTCACCTGACAGGATGACCCGGTGTAGTTCTGCGGACAGCTGCACTGTTCAACCTCATTCGCTGCTCGACCCGTACCAGAGACATCGGCAGTTTCTAGTTCGATATCCCAGATCCTGTGCAGCAAGACAATATAGGGGGATGAATTTAACTGCAAAACAAACGTGGCTTCAACACCAGATCATGGAGCAATTAACCCCATGCTATTCTTCAGAATACGGTACCCTAAGCAATTAGACTGTAATTGCTCCTGTGGGTCGATTTAGGAACTGCATCTGTGCCTTGATTCTTGGAGGGTGGTGGAGTTCCTACGGATGCGGAAAACTCGGCCTGTAGCCGAGTCTGATACGAACCGTGATTTTTTCGTTTTTTGTTGGTATTACTGTCCTTATCTGCCTGGGCAGTCAAACATCGAAGACTTTTCGTCCAAACTCACCTGGAGAGTGAGACTGTGGATGCATGTGTTGCCTTGATCAAGATCCACTCAACATCCCGGAGAGCTATCATCAGTTGGTTGCGAGTAGCTGGACTGCCTGCAATCTGCCATCCGGTCATCTACACAACAAAAATATACAGGTTTATGCACCCGTACACACACACACACACGCACGCACACACACCCCCTCCCCACACACACAAACACACACATGCACGTATACATACAAACGCATGTATATAGGAACACAGACACGCATACAGATAGACAAATACAAACAAAAACATAAAAACACAAACACACACACACAAACACACACACACATGCATGTACACACATGAAAACACATATCAAATCAGCTTTTGAATGGATGCAGATTTTTCAGAAGGAAGTGCCCAATCTAATCCGCTCCCTTCTTGCCAGTAATAAAGGCATTCCAAGTAAAAAAGACAAGATCAACCACAGACACTAACTCTAGTTCTGGCTTTACCTCATGTAGGCGTACTCTGCGCTGTGTTGGCGTGTTGAGCTGCAGCGGTGTTGAGTGTGTGTATTCCAGTACGGTTGTACCACTCTGGGCAAACACCATATCAGAACAAGAATAGCATAGCACAACATTCATAGAAACATTCCCATTGGATGTGCATTATGGTTTCTCGCAGGCATATTAATAATTATGCTAGGGCAATGTGAGCGCAATGAAAGTGATAAGACCGATGAAAGCTGAAACTCAACGCTACTTTGTTCTGCACACTGGAGATTGCATTGCCGTTTCACATGCTCTATATTCCAGTCGTGAAGTGTTCATCAAAGGCGGTGGACTACAATTTTGAAAGTAACCAACATGTAGCAGGAACATGACAAAATCCATGCAAATATGTCTTAACTTCGGATCAGCCTTTTACACTCCTTTTCAAATTCCGATGCAGTATTGTAATGCTGAACCATTGAGTTGTGGTGTAGTTGATAGCCTAGAAGATACGGAGCTCCATTTTTTCAGGCTTCAATGCTTCACAATCCTGTGAACACCAACAGATTGTGTCATGCAACCGTCCTGTGCTTCTGTGTGAGAATGATAATATCATTGCCAGGTTACTCTCGGCGCACTCACCACAAGTATGATGTCTGGATCAGTGGTGGCAACTCCCAGGGCTGATATGGTGTAGGACTGCCAGTAGCTCAGGTAGCCACCATATGAAGAAATCTACAGCACAAGAAGCAACAAAAATGCAGGCTGAACTCATTTTTATCGAAAAAATGCAGCTGATCATGAAAAGTGGCACATCTCATTGGTCCACTCAGGGATGACTCGAGAACACGCCTAATTGTGCCCCAGTCCAAGAAACCTGGTGAGCAGAGAGAAATCCGAGTCAAATCATACATTTCCGCTCACAGAGATGGCGACCTGCTTTGGACATCAAACATATCATACAGTACAATGCACTTTTTGCAATTTGTCAGCTGCTTGTCTACCCGGTTCGGTTTAGCTTTGGCATGGTAGCACCAATGGGGACTCACCTTATCTCCTAGGAATGACCGTGGAGCAGCAAAGTACCGCGTGTCACTTGTTGCCAGGCTGGTGAGATCAGCAGTGAGGCCAAATTTACCAGGGGAAACCTTGAAACGGAGGCAAACGAAACAAAACACAAATGGCTTTAGGTCAATGATGCCAAACTGATAGCCAATTTGTAAGTTAATGATAGAAATTGGATTTTCCAATAAAGGATCCAGAGAGGACGTTTTCAGTTGACACAGATTAAAAGTCGATATTCATTATGTTATTTCTATAACTTAGAACCTTCCAAGTTGGAAGACTGTTGGAGTGCGCATCCAAGATGTGCTAGAGCTGTTAGCCAGTTAGTTGTAGAACGTCAGTACCGCCGGTCAGTGTCGTGCAATGTTATCGCATGAGCTGATTGTTTAGTAACTGGTGGTGTTAGTGGTCATTCTAGCGTAACTTGTAGTTCCTTGGTCCTTTTTCTTTCTTATAAATTATGATAAATATAATTATTTCATTTCAAAATGTGTTTGTGTTTGTGGGCGGAGGGGTTGAGTGAGTGTATGTGTGTGGTCACATGCTTGTGTGCGTATGCATGCATGATTTTGCGAAGTACAAGTACTAGTACAGTTGTGCTTGTGTGTGCATGCATGAGTGTGGAAAAGGACAATAATATAGCGAAAAATATTCATTACAATATCCACACTTACCTGCGTGGTAGAAAGTGATGCTGTCGTCAGGCTAATCAGCCGCGTGGTCAGTTGCCAGTCGTTCAGCACATTACCAGCTGCAAACTGGCTGGTCACCGTATTGCGTAGCTGTGTTGTGCTGTTGCACGTACTGGTATGGCCAAAACAGTGGCAATCCGCGCACCCTCCAGCGTTCTCCGCAGCCAGATTATAACTGCCCGACTGGCACAGGTGGCAATAGCGGCCCATTGTGAGATCCTATCGGGGAACAAAATGGAACATGGATATTTGTATATTGTATAAAATAGCTTAGGAAGGGTTCGCTCCCCACACTGGAGCTCGCGATTTTCCGCCGACTTGACTTGACAATTGACATAGCATAATCTCTTTATGGGAGTAAAGGAAATTTCAAAATGGTGCCATTGGTGAGAACAGTTACCAGAGTGCCACCTTAATAGAAAGAAATGGTTCAGTCCTCCAGTGCTTTCAATGATGAAGACAGGCTTTTTTTTAAAATTTGCCATGGAAAGATATGGTTATTTTGACAAAGTGGCTTTGCCCAATTTCAAATCAAAAATCAGGTTTACATGTACCTTGCAGTCACAGTTGGTTGTAGACTGGCTGCAGTTTGGTGAAGTGCTGCCATCAGGGTGACAATTACAGTCCTGGCAACCGGATGTGGTGAAGTTAGTGTAGGAAGCCTTGCAGGCTGTGCACTTGTCACCATCCACATTGGGACGGCAGCTGAGAGAAACGGCACACAAGGAAAAGAGTAAAAAAATTCTCGTTGCGGCAGCTCGAAGTAGAGTGTCTACGAAGGCCTGCTAGGTCAATCGCGAGTATCAAGACCCGCTCGCAGAGACTGAGTAGCGAACCACTGCTGTCTGATGATCTGTGAAATACGTGAACCTTGAAGTTACGGCTCCACAGCCCTTCACATCTGGTGTTTGTGCAAGGGAAAGAGTATGATGTTGATTAATCACCTTGAGAAAGACACCAAGCAGCTGTGTTATTATGGCTTGGGTTGGAGACTAATAACTGCATCAATGGCAAGCTCAAAACAAATCTCCCCTATTGATTACCACACTGAATAATTTCCTGGTATGCTTCCACCACAGTACATCTTGATCATGGGGAACGTAGCATCTATGGCATCGGCCTAATCACATGTCGACGCAATAATGATCAACCAATAACCATTCCGTCGGTCTCTATCCATTCGTGCAGTTGCACTATTGAGCGTCCGATGTAAATAGATGAAATGTAGTTGTAACACCATAATGTGTTTAGATGCTCACGCAGCGCTCACCCTCTCCCATACTTGTAAAATTCAAAGTGACGTAAATTACTTTCCAATTGCATACCCCGTAGCCCACTCACAGCATCTCACCTTCTCATAAATGTATCTCTTATCGGCGATGGTGCCATCGTGAGAATAAAGAATTCCAAGATGAGTAACCGGACCCACAATACACTGACATTTATAAGATTGGCAAAAAAACTTACTGGCAGATTCCTTGTGTGGGGTGACAGCTGCTATTCGATGACCCCACCACATCACAGCCGCATGCCTGTGTCAGATACATATGGACGCCACAACAGACAAAAACAAGTATCAATGCCATAATGATCAGAACGAACCTCATAAAATTCTAAGGCAAAGATAGAGAAATGGACTTCGTCCAGACAGTTTATTTTTAGTACAATATATTCAACGACACAGAAACGGAAATTGTAAAGTACGAAGGCCATGCTCGTCACAGTAGAACAGAAGCTTAGGCTGTCCAACCGTCCTGCTTTGGACCAACATATTTTTTGTACATCTACATGGGATACGTTTTATATAGGTATCCTGTTTTGGAACGTGGCAAGATTGGACAAACTGGAAGCTTCTATTAGAAGCAACACAACACACCTCTATTCATATGCCCAACTTAAAGGGGAAGTTAAGGCAAAAATAAAAATTTCACCAGTTGTAGTCTTCGGGGTGCTGAGTCGAATGGTCGTGGTCCGAGGAAGCTGAGACGCTCCCTTCCTACTTGAATCCCAATCGAACTCGCGCACTTCCACCGAAACTGGGTGACTGCGCCCTACGAGATGGGGATTTGTATGCAAAATGTCACTAAAAGCGCCATTTCGTTCTTATAAAAGCACGGATGACCGCGATTGGCTCATATGTTGTAGTCTTTTGGACGCTGCGTCGACTGGTCTAGGTCCGAAAAGGCTGCGATGCAGCGTTCCTCCTTTATTCCCAATCGAACATGCTTGAACAAGCGGTCACGTGCTCCTGCGTACGCCAGTCACCTGGTCACCGTGCCTGCAGGGTACAACTTACTAGCTTGTTTGACCTTTTTTGGGTGCAGTCCTGTCACTCGAGTTGAACTCGAGTTGAACCTTGGTGTGAAAGTTGTCGCCTGCTGGCGTGGTGACCAGGTGATTTGGGCACCCAGGAGCACGTGACCGCTTCTTCAACCATGTTCGATTGGGAATAAAGGAGGAACGCTGTATCGCAGCCTTTTCGGACCAAAACCAGTCGACTCAGCGTCCAAAAGTCTACAACATATGGGCCAATCGCGGTCATCCGTGCTTTTATAAGAACGAAATGGCGCTTTTAGTGACATTTTGCATACAAATCCCCATCTAGTAGGGCGCAGTCACCCAGTTTCGGTGGAAGTGCGCGAGTTCGATTGGGATTCAAGTAGGAAGGGAGCGTCTCAGCTTTCTCGGACCAAGACCATTCGACTCAGCACCCCGAAGACTACAACTGGTGAAATTTTAATTTTTGCCTTAACTTCCCCTTTAACCATAGCCTGTTTATGCTATAATTATTGTAGAGTGGCTTACCGAGCAGCCAGCCGTAGCACTGTAGGTGAATGCTGTAATGTTGCATGCATCACAGCGTGATCCCACGGTCAGCGTTGGGCACTGGCAAAGGCCGGTGTCTGCCGCGCAGGGTGCAGCCGGGTCAGCACATTGACAAGCTGAATAAGGAGAGTGGAACAAAAAGAACAGAAAGTTATTCACACACACACACACATACACACGCACCCACGCACACACACACGCACACACGCACACACGCACACACACACACACACACACACACACACACACACACATTTGGATAAGCCTACGCAAATATTATTTACACCCCCCCCCCCCTTCCCACACACACACACACACCTCTCTAATAACACTCGCCTATCATCATTTTCCACAGAGCAAGAAAGCTAGAGTCGAACTTACATTGACAGCCAGCTGTTGTTCCATGGTGCCCGTAGAGACAGAAGTCACACCGCTGACCACCCACACCATGCGCACAGTCACACTTGCCATCAACCTCAGCACAATGACCCAGGCCATTTGCACAGTTGCACGCTGCACAGGAGCACAGAATGGAAAATCAATCTTGCACCAACACATTAATTATGATCAAACGAAAATCCGGTGGAACAAAAGTGATTTAAAAATGTCTCTACTCACCAGTTTCATGTTGAAAATCAATCATCAGGACACTGGGGCTATACTCGGGGTTGTGTGGCCTTATTCAATATAGCCTAGAATAGGTGTTGTCCCATGGCAGGTATGCTAATGCTAGTACCCCTCTTCCTAACGTTACAAGTATTTCACGCGAGGGATCTGCCAACAAGAAATCGAAGGTTGATACAGACGTACCCCTGCTGTCCCTTGGGCTTGACTGATGAAGCGAGCTACCATAATAACTATTATGATTCTGCACTCGTTTTCTATACTCATTACACGACTCTCTCAATGCCAGTTAAATGAGTTGCGTCATTTCTCTACTGCACGAGAATTTTCACATGGTGTGCGATTGCTGAGAGAATGTTCGGAAAATGCCCCAAAACATACTGGAAGCAGAACGACTCAAGTTGCTCGTGCATTGTAACTTAGTACGCATGTGCAATTACGAACTCAATACAATATTCATTGATTCATATGCAGCAAAACACACAAAATAATTTAACGAGTAAGTAATAGAGTGAAATGGCAATGGTGAGCAGTGTGTTCTAGTGTAAGAGATACTTACGTTGTGCTTTGAAGGTCCGCAGACTGATGACAAACACTTGTTGCTGACACGACACATCTGCAGAACTAAACAGGACAGAAAACAGGGGGAACACTCCTATCAGGAACATGAAGTCATACAGTAAATTCATCCAACAATCACCAGGATACCAGGCTTGACAAGTGAAAGCACTGTGTCTATGGGGTGGGGGAGAGAGTTGACCATTTCTGCGGGGCTGATGTACTCAGCAACGATTTTGGAGTTGCGTCTGACATCTTGACACTCTAATAATAGGAGGGTGGCAGTGCACCTATGGATGCGGGAAGTTCGTTGGGATTTGCTATCTTTTTACCATATATTGCTATTCAGATATCCAGTCGACATTTAAAGTAAAACATCTGAAATTAAGCAACGGCATTACGTGAGCAGAATGTGCACAGTACCTTGTAGCGTTTCTAAGCACGGCTTCCGCACACGCTGGATCTAGATTGGCGGACGGTGAGCGGAATGCGCCCGGTACAACCGCAATGTAGTCCTGCAGATGCAGTAAACGAACAGCACGGGTTAAAGAAGATCACCGAAGAGGGTCGGTGTAACTTTCTGAATGGCCACACTTAGAAGGCATGACTTGCAAAAATCGACAAATGCACCCAAATGTGGTCCTGTAGTGTCCTGCCGCTCATATTTTGTGTAGGATATGGCGGGTGCACAGTCATGCCCTCCACAGCAGGAAACATGTGTTGGGTGCCGAAAAGTTGGTCCGGTAATAGCCTGACCAACCGGACGGGTTCCAGGGGGCATGACCTATAAAGTACGATAAAGACGTGACCATCAAAATGCACTGCCCATATCTTAGATCCCAAACTCTCACAAACAGGAAAATCGGGAAAACCTCAACCACTGAAAATCAACATCTTCAGCAGTATGTATTCCTAACAATGCTGTCATTTAGCAATGACAGCTTAGGCACAGATTCAACTTTGGTTTTCCACCATCATTCAGGTAAGAGAACAATACCACGCAAGAAAAAGTAAGATCCAGAGGACGTACCAAGTAGACATCTCGGTCCGCCGAGATGGTGCATGGAACATCGGCTGTGCCCACTGGACTCAGTGTGTTCATGGTCGGGGTCACTGCCACACTGGCGGTGCTGACCGATGACGGTAGAGTCAGGGTGAAGTCCATCGGAGACAGCAGGTACGCTGTGATGTTCAGGGTTACGTTCCCCGGCACGGGCGTCGCGTAGCGTACGGCCAGAACCACCGTGCTCTCCGTCGTCGTCAGTTTCTGCCGCATTGTCTGAGAGCGCAGACACGGCCAAACCAAAACAGAACACGGTGTGAAATTTCTACATTCCAGTTTGTGACATGTTTCTGCGAAGTCTCTTCCCTTGTCCTTTTTCACTTCGCTTTCATTCCATCCACCCTTCCAGGAAACTCCCTTGAAAAGTATCCATTAACTTTTGGAGAATCCTTCAAATAAGGTCTGAATGAATGAAAGACTGATCATGCACATAATTACCATGGAGTAAAACCGCATCTTAAACACTCATAATTCAGCAAGAAAAGTCAGTACGGCTTATACCACCATGGTCTAATGAACGCTAAAATACATAAGTATGTATTTATTTCCTGACAAACAATTTGTGTAGGGTTGAAACGCCAGTGCGGCTTACACTCCGGAAATATATAGTATGTTGCCCGGACGTCGAGTTCTGAATGGTGACCAACGTTTTTGCTTTGCTTTTTGCCATCAGAAAGAGCACTCAGCCCTGGTACTTCTATTCCGAAGAATAAATTATGTACAAGGGTGGCAAGGTGACAACAATCCAGGGTAAAACGATGAAAATATGTGTTGTCTTTCCACCACACACCAAGCATAATGCTGGATTCTTAAACTATAACGTTTCCTTATGACATTCTTCAGTGGATAATAAATTCAGCGTTCTTACAATTGACTGTCCGCGCTTCAGCAGAATGTAGCCAATGCCCTGGAACCCAGGTAGGATGGCGTGGTCGGTACGAACTTCACAGCAAGTATCAAGGGGGTCGTATGGAGTGGGAACGTTGGCTGCAAAGTACTGCCGCTGATAGTGCGGTGAGCGTAGGAAGAATCCCTCAGCAACGCTGGTGCAAGGAAGGAAAGAGAAGGGAATAATTCGTCAAATTGGAGCGTAGGGAGACACGAAAAGTTGCAAATTCACATGTTGAAATGCATAGACAATGTAGATCGAAGCGAGGCATGGCTAGTCCTGGACGTGTTATAACTTAGGAGCAACAGTGGCTCAGGAACACTGCTTCGTGGTGCTACAACCGCGCTCCACTTAGTGTTGGTTGTGTTTAGCACTTTGCAACGCCTCTTTCTCCCCTCAATTTCCGCATGGCAGTTGATTTTATTAATGTATAAAATTTAAGTAGAAAGGAAAAGGACATATGGAAACGAGTTAAGAGTAACTCTCCACTCTCCTATATAAAATTTGCTGTGCTTTATGGAACAACATTATTACTTCTCTCACCTGTTACATTGTCTGCCGGTGGTAGAATTGACAAGACACGGACACTGTCCTCCGACCCTCTCACAGTTGTTGTGCTGGCTACCAGCTGGATCACACTCGCAGCCTAACGTGCAGGAACATACGCAAAAAGCCAGGAATGCACGTGGATAAGTTACTTGCATCAGCAGAGAGTAGACTTGGTCCTTTTTTCCTGTGACGCTCTCGAGGGGTACCAGAGGATTCGAACACGGAATATCCTCATACGTAAATGCCAGGGATGCATGTGGATCCTTGCATCAACAGAAGGCAGACTGGGTCTCTTTGGTATCCCTCGAGGAATACAAAAGGAACTCAAACACTAAAAAACCTAACCAGGGCTAACCCACCAAAAGGTTATGATCCAATCTAGGCTGAAATGCTGCATGCTATGACCCGTTGAACATTTCCAAGTTCCAATCCCAAGTGTGTTTAGAATCACATCATGTCCTGGCAAGTTACACTGTACTTACGCAGACATCCCTCCGCTAGCGCAGACTCTGGTCTGCCCGTGGCGCTGTAGAACCCCAGTGCACAAACGCTGCACTGCCGACTGGTTGCGTCCACACCAGCCTTGCAGTAGCATTGGCCGTTTGCCTGGCACACAACAGTAGCAAATAGCACCAACAATGAACGTCACAATGCCGAACATTTCCGTATTGTCGCAAGAGCAGCTATGGAGGTGTAGCTATGACCAGTAACTTGTCGGTGCCAACAATATAAACTCTCTCAAACCGGGAGCACAATAGTAAGATAGCGATTGCCCACATACCCAGATCCAGACACACTAAGAAGAGAAACACATTTAGATCTTTACACCTGCGGGGAAAAGCACTCCTGGCCAGATTCGATTACAGGTCAAATAGAATATGAAACTTACTTTGTTACAGCTCATCGAGCCATTTGTCCCAGGTGGATTACAGGAACAGTCTAGAAGCAGGCAAACGGAAAAGAAAAAAATTGTTGAGCGATGGACAGGTTTCACAGTAAACCTCCTAAGCTCTGAAGAAATAGAAGACAACTACAAGGGATGAATGAACGTGAAGGTTGATCCAGTGCCCAAACAATCATATTCACCTTGGCAGCCGTCGGGATTGCTTGAGGTGAGGTTGAAGAAGGTGTCGCTGCAGACGTCACACTTAGCGCCCTGGACGTTAGCTTTGCACGTACAATCGCCATTGGACTTGCCTGTCGGAGGCGTGATGCTCTGCTGTCCAGCACAATTGAAATTCGAACTGGGACTGGTTCCATCCTGATTGCAGTTGCATGCTGGAAAGCCAGGAAAAGAGGATCATGCTTTTGATGAGTTCAAGTAGATCAAGAAGCCAATGTACATGTCCTCCAAGACACAAACAACCAGCATTTAAACAATTTCTCAACTAATTACTTTGACAATTGAGGCCAGTATGAACCTCATGCACTGGTTGGATTACGCGCTTACAGGGAGAAGGTAATTTTGGCAGGAAGTTCATTGATTATATTCAGTGCAATCATGGTGCTTACATTGGCAGGTGCTGGCGCTGGTCAATGGCAGAGCAGGGTGATGAAAGTAGCCGGGTTGACATTCTTCACAGCTATTTCCAGCGGTGTTGTTCTGAAATGCACGCACGGTCAGAAACACCAACACATCAACATCAGTGAAGCACACATGCACACATGTTTTCCTGGAAAAAAATGTAGTCGGTTCATGAAGTGGATGGATATAGTGGATCCAGATAGTGGGTGAATGTAATGGATGCAATAGTGGATGCAGGTTGATCACATGATGTTGAGTCCTGCCGCAGGCAGACCCCTGAGACTGGTGCTGCCGCGTGACCCTGCTAGAGATTGCATCTCTTGACAGTATTCAACCCCCACCGTCACAGATACATGCAGCTATAGCCCATACAGGCGCGTAACCCACACGGTGGGTACGTGCACCCCCTAAAATTTTAGACCTAGGTTCAGCATGCATGGAATGCACCAGCCACCATAGGCCACACGTATGATACAACTCCCTCCTCCCGCCCCGAGGGGGGCCAGCTACGCCCCGGCACTGATATACACCAGTATTATAGTCTTACCGCGCAGCTGTTGCACTGTCCGAATCCAATCGCCGGGTTGTAGAAGCAGCTGTCTGCATGCTGATTGCAGTTACATACTGCATGGGACAAAGGCAACAGAGCAGGATGAGAAAAAAGAGATGAGGGTCCGCTCAACATGACATTGGAGACACTAGACATAAACTCTGGCTTCAGCAGCAATAGATGGACCCTATCTCTGCAGATGACGGTTGAATGCAAGCAACTCCTGGAACCAGAATGCCCTATTAGATTCTCCAGGCTGTTCAACTTTCACAGTTACGGACCATAACGATCCTAAAACAGGACCGCCGGAAGCAGTTTTCAATTCGTCGGGTCCTACCATAGTCTTTCATATTTTGTGTATGATGTGGTGGGGACATAGGCCCTCCTCAGCAGTAAACATGCTTTGGTAGCCACAAAGTTGGTCCGGTGTTAACCTGATCAAACGGACCGATTCCGGCGGGACTGCTAAAGTGACAGCATTTCCCTATCTATACAAATCCGCTCTAGCGTCAACTAGGAATACTGCACATTCCAATCATCGCACAACTCACATTCGCAGTACTGTCCCTGAGGGAGGTTGTTGGCATTCGGACAGCACGTCTCGCACTGCGTACCGCACGTGTTGTTCATACACGCGTAGCACACACCCGTATCCTGGCTGCAGTTCGTGGCCAAGCCGTTGCAGGAACACGTGGCCCTGATGTGCACGTCGTTGATGGACAGAGCATTCTGGATATCGGACACAGAGCCACATCAGAGGCGGTGTTTATGGATATTTGCAACTATAGTACCAATTCATCCTCGAAGGCATTTCGCAATATACCTGGTCGTTTTGTTAAAAAAAAATATGTTTGCTGAGTAGAATTTTGTTGTACAATGATTAGAGAAAGCTGTCGAGACTAAACGCATCTCTTTGACGTCTACATCAATGAACTAAAGAACCGTATTGTCAGGAGCAACCTCCCGTTTTCATGCAGGCTTCAGGGAACTATTTCAGAAATACGGGCAATCGGTGGACATGCTCTCCAATTTACAGTGGGTTCTGTAGTATTTACTCAGGACACGAGCTGGCCAAGGGCCTCCTTCCATCTGCCAAGAACGGCTAAGGTTCGTTATCCCTATAGGCGTATACCCTCATGAATTTGGAGTGACGACTCCCTGCATCAGTGTGCAGTTCAACGAAGCGATGGCAGCTACTGTGCCTGGGCAAGGGCAATCACTAAACCAGGCAACATTACATGCAACATTGTTGTTCGAAGCCACGTGATTGAAAGACAGAGAGGTAAAGTACTACATGAACACGGAGTTCAACGCCGCTTGGCTGTGAGACCGTCGAAGAACAACTCTTTTACTTGCTCACAACACATTCGTTTAGCAATGCGCCGTCAGGTACGCAGCAAATGCCGCCAGACTTTGGTGTGGAAACAAGCAGCATCACTTACTATGTTGTTAGCCAGAGCTGACTGGGAGATGTTGAACATTTCAATGAGCAAAGCATTGGCACGGACGTGATTCTGGAGAGCACACGGAGAGTAAGAGAGGTTTACGGTACTTGAAATGCATATTGAGCATTCTCTTTTCAAGTATTACTTGTTGTATTTATGGATTCTCCACAGGACGTAGCCTAAATCGAGGGAGTCTCTGTATCAATGGTAAGCCTTAGTATGGTCTAAAAGGATGGTGACACTGTCTTTATCCATTCTATCCTGTTACACAAACCTGAGGTTAGATAGTGTGAAGGATTTATCACAATGATGACAATTATTGCTAGGCATATGGGAGTTGTTGCAACATATAAGTTTTCTGTTCATGCTCCGGCAAGGTACAATCGGGCCCGGTTTAAATCTGGCTTTGTAAAATTGTCATCAGTTTATGTTTCATTTTCGATCAGGTTCTGCCTCGTTATTTCAGTGCTGTGCTGACAAGTCCACAAAAGACTAAGCAGCTCTGTCTGCAGTATCATGTTCAAAAGCAGGCAAGAAGCAATGTTGAAAGTGGTACTGATCATGCCGGCATGTGAATTCTATGCTAACAGAACGTACCCTGTATGCAGTACCCTGCTCCACACGAATCAACTTCAGCAGCGGATTGGATTCTGGCAGAGTCCTGGTGGGCTGAAAAGCAGGAGCACAGAAGTACATCGGAGACAAATTGTTGGAACGTACAGTATACACTGAGGTGATGCTAACAGTATGCTTATGTGTAAGTATGGGTTAGAATCAGGCCAATCAATGGCGACCATACTCTCTCTCTCTGTCCAGGGAGAGAGATTGGAGAGGTCTGCAGTTATAGCAGGGAGGTTTTCATGCACTGGATGTAATCATGCCTCATACGATCTCAGCGCATGCTGTTGTACCGTCGCTATATGCTCTCTTCACGTTCTGTTCTAGTGAGTGAATGTGTGTGTGTGTGTGTGTGTGTGTGTGTGTGTGTGTGTGTGTGTGTGTGTGTGTGTGTGTGTGTGTGTGTGTGTGTGTGTGTGTGTGTGCGTATGAGCTCACAAGACAGTGAATGAAGGATGCCATGGTGTTCTGTAACACTCAGTAGAGGGAGGTGCCACAATGTTACCCGTCATTTAGATCATGAAGATTGACATGGGTGTTAGTAAAGGGGGTGCTTGGAGAAAGAAAGAAAAAACACTCATCCGCGCAGATTTTGGCTACGGTAGTGCATGCGTATACAGTGAAACCTGGTTAGGAAGAACACTGATAAGACAAATGTTTGCTTAAGAAGAACTAGTGTTCGTAACTCCATTGGATAAACACTGTGTATTCACTGGGTATAAAATATGGATAAGAAGAACTCCCGTTATTGCGAACTAATGCCATCGGTCCCTTGGTGTTCGTCCTAAAGAGGTTTGACTGAACAAAGTCAATTTCAATAGCTAACTTACTGCAAATAGATCTGAGCATCCAACATCACTAGCGCCGATGTGTCCCGTGAACAAGAAACCACTGTACGTGTAATCTCCTATCGTATGCTGCGAGTGCTCTTTGATGCGCTCGCAACCCGCCTGATCTTCAGCTGCCAACACAAGTGGACTGTACGACAGGCCTCCGTCGACAGACTTGAAGACGGCGACGGCCTCGGCATGGTACGAGCGAAAAATCAGTTGAATTTCGCTGATGGAAAATTCCTGAGGGAGGGGGGGGGGGGGAGAGAACACACAAAGGAGATAAATAAGACAAAAGACACATGACATTGATGTTGAAAATGGGGCTTACATTCGTGGAAATACGGTGCGCAGTGTACTTACGCCGGGAAGGCTGATGTTGATGACGGCATAGTTCAGATCCGTCCGTGCCTGCCAACGTGTCTCTTCTACTCCGTCAAGAGCCAGTGCCGGTGGAAAGCTGCCAGATGAGCAGGTGAATGTTCCTACACACACAAAATCCACACCGTCGAGTCATTCTAAATGCTATTATCACATCAATTAATCTTATTTTGTCTCTGTTCTACTTTGCACCTATCATTGCCTGATAGACTAATCCCTTCAACTACCATTGCACATTTCCAAAAATTCACAAGCCCGCTGAAATCTCTTCCTGGGCTGAATTGGACGTAGGACAATTGCAGGTCGTAGTACCTTTCGAGGAAAACAAAATTGCACCATTTGATTCTCTGCCGCTCAAACCATTATCCGCTCGTGCTGCGAAATTCCCGAGGTTGGTCTTTTCCGTGTTTTCCAAACAGACCGTCCATGTATAGTTTGTGGCAAGCTGAAGTGCTACTTCAGCGCCGCAACCCGATTTTGACTGTTACGTGTAAGGGTAGAAGTCTGCATCGCCTTCACACTGAGGAAAAGTTTAAAAAAAGTAAATTATCGTGCCCGTTCCCGAAGGAAACTCACGACGGCCGCTAACTCCCGGTAAACCCTGAGTATAACCCTGAGTATGTACGTCTATTCGAATCTCACTTGCTGCAGCTAGGGTTCACAAGAACGTTTTGTGTGTGCTACACCAAGGACGCCAGCTTACAGTAAAACGTGTAACTCAAGACCACCGTGACCGTCACGACCAGCCTGATACTACAGACCACTTTGCCAGGCACGGACGGTCTCACATTCATATAACATTATGGTTGTGCGGTGCAAACCTCAAACTAAGGACCACCTGCCACTAAAGTCCGCTTTCACGGCTCTGGCCCCAGGGGGTGGTCGTTAGTCACAGGTGCAACTATAAATAAAAAAACACAGTCATGATGTAAACGGGATGGTCATAGTGTTACACAACGACCATGATTGTGCACAGACAACACGCCTTGCCCCTCAAACATTTCAGTGGCTTTGAGTTTGACCTACAGTCAACTTCGCCAATAACGACTGCAGATATAACGACAATTCGCGAATAACGACAGCATTTCCATGCCCAGAGCAAAGTCCCTTCCAACTGTAATACATATAATGAGACTTCGGGTATAACGACACTTCGCGAATAAGTACACTTTATTGATGCCCCGCCGAATGTCGTTATAAGCGAAGTTGACTGTATTTCTTTCTATGTTGTTTGAGTGGAGGAACAGCACGATGTTTATCAAATTTTACGAAAGGTGTTGGGTATCGCAGATAATGATGATGTACTTTGAAGTCCTATGTATTGGCATAACTCCGTGGTAAAGTAATGACTGCTGAGAGTCTTTCCGCTGCTCCTGAAGACAACACATTCGTCATCGCATATCTAGAAGGATTTCAAGAGAAGAATATCTCTGGTTCGTATAAATTAGCGATCCGATTATTTCCAGAACAGTACCTGATCCATTTTGAAAGGACTCCGGTCCTTGCGAACCACACGTATCACTCGAAGATGCACTAAGACCTCCGAGAGAGAATGTCGGAAGTTGAGCTTCAGCGATGCCTCGAAAATCAGCTGCTGCCAACAAAATTATTGCTGAACAAACGCACGCTACACGCGAAACAGCCATATTCTGCGTCCTCAGCGTCTCCCCGCAGAGCTTGCAGGTGAGAAATTGCGCCTAGCTGCACAGGTGAAGCGCGTGGAGAGCCCCTGTCTCAGTCTACACGCTCGGCAAGATGAACTCAACTAGAAAGCATACTTGAGTCGGACATCAACTGCTTCTTTTGTTCTCTTTCAACTGATCCCTCCTTGCAGCTTGATTTTGTCCTTCGAACTGATCAAGTAGTTTCATCGTTTCCTCTCAGATTCAGAAGCAATATGACTTGGAACTAAAATATTTTAGGGCGTACTTTGAGATGGGTAGATCTACCAGATTTCTATCGCACTGGCTAGGCTACATACTTGAGATTTGACTCCAGAATGCACAGGTATCAGACTTTCAGCTGGACCTTCCGAATCTGGCGCCGCGGAGGCTTCGGAATGCGGCTTCGGTGGAAACTGGAATGCATGCGATAGGATTTTAGCCCATCCCGTTGTACGGACATTTCCTCGCAGTATAAACTGCTTGCCTTGATTACCAGAGCACTGCATGCAGGCATAACCATGATAACGCTGGGGATCAAAATATCAGTTCCGGATTATTATAATAGTAGGGACTTCAGACCATTTTTCAAATCGGTTTTCTGTGGCTTATGTTTTGCTTTTTGTATAGGTTAGAGCTTCCTGAGGAGTTTGGTCTTTAGTTTTTCTAAATCAGACAAAGGAAACTAAAGTTACAAGCAAAATAGTCATCGCCTATCACCGGATTTGTCCGACAAACGTCCCACACATTTGAGATCAGAGAGATATGTCAAACTGAGAGAACCCACTTTCCTTGGCAACGCATAGCAACCGCACACCAGATCCAAAACAATCTTGGTTCTCCGCATGAAATAGCTGAATAGTATGGTTTACAATGTAGTGGGTAGTAACAGGAGACATTGGTAATACAGTCCTGAGATAGCTTCGGACTGTTGGTGTGGTTGGTGTCAAGAAAAAGAATGATCACGGAAGAGGCACTGACTAAGCTCAACATGTACATGTACAGGACATTGTATTGGCTGGGGTAATCGTAGCACGCACATCATCATCAGCAGAGACACAGCAAATAGCAAAAAGAGTATACAGCACATCTCCCAGTTCGGCACTCTTTCAGCTATTCTTGCGGAGCTCAACCAGATCGAGCATAACAGCATTCGAGACAAGAATCGAGGCATGGACCGAAACAGCCAAGAGCAATTCAATTTGTACATCAGCATCACTTAGCGCAGGATACTTCTCGCTGCTTTCCATACTGTGACTATGGCGGCGCTGCACGGCAAAGTACAAAGAGGAATAATGCAAGAAATAGGTCTTCTGGAAGGTGAAAACAATAAAGATTACCTTCTATCTAGACTAATTCGAGGTCGTAGAATACGAATATCACATTTTCAAGAAGGGGACCCGGACGGATCATATGGTTTCTCACCTTTCCCTTCCATCCGCATACGTATCTCCGTCAAAAATGAACGTAACAGCTCCATTCTTGCTGGTCCCAAACGAAGGCAAGCTCCAACAAGACGAACCGAAACTTTCTCCAACTGTACAAGACTTCCTTCATTTCGAAAAACGGTTCCACATTTCTTTACACGACTTGACATATGACCATCACACGATTTGTGCAGGCGTCGATTTGCACGCTTTTGGGCCAAGAAGTCACGTGGTCTGAAGTCCCTAATAATAGGGCAGCTGGAACTGGATAGAAAGAGCGATCACTCATCCATTCACCAGGGTGCCGGGTAGGCATATGCGGATAATACCGGCAGAAAAATTGGCAGAATTCGGTACTTTTTCTGGTAAGTTTCATGCATGTTTGGTATGTGGATAAAGAAATGCAGCAGAATTCGAGGAATTGCCCGCCATAAGGTTTGTATTTTTCTGCCAATTTCACTGCTTTTCGAGCATTATCCTCCAATGCCTAGTGCTGGGTCATGTGTATAATGTGGCCACATTCAAAAGGTGTCTCGTGGTACTGTTAGAATACAACCTTTCTTTTCTTTTGAAGATTTTGGCGAAGGAATGACAGTACTGATAGCGAGAAAAGAAGATGAGAATCATCCGTTTTCGATCATCCTCTCCGAGATGTGGCTCCCGCTTTGCTGCCGCTCTGACGCTTGCAGTAGATTTATCTACAGTTTCCGTGAGCTTTTTCAATCACTCCTTCTTCGAGACGGAGAGTTTTAACCATTACATGTATTTAGCAAGATTTCGAGAGGCCAAAATTAATAATAACAATAATAGGCTTGCTTTGCAGCCCCGGGCCCCTACTCTCCCTGCTGTTTTGTTATTGTATACTCTGTTGTCTTCTCCCCTTCTGACGAGTAGGTTGTGTACGTAGTAAAAAAATAAAAATAAATAAAATAACAACAGTACGAACATGGTGTGTGCAGCATTTGGTGAAGTAATCTTGGCTTTGGCCGACCATTGTATAATTATTGTATGTTTGTTTGACCGGTTTATAATTATCTAAAATGCTTTTGTTCCAATTTCAAAACTTCATCTATCAAGCAGGTCAATAAGCGACTGGGCAATTTTGATGTACATGTACATCGATCCTTCAATTCAAAGTCCCGGTCCATAGTACAGTGTATGTGTCCACGTTGGTTTTAGCACTCCTAATGCGGCAGACATATCATTCTGCCCATTCCACAACCTCTGAATGGATATTGACCTAACATGAAGAAAAAGCTGACACACCTGCGCAAAAGAAACAAGGCTTGGTATGAAAAGCGAGACAGGTCGGGCTTTCCCAAATCCGGTGCCCTTCGGTACCATGGCAACGCGTGCTAGACTTCCACACCACTTCGCGAGGCACTGATGAGCATGAGCACTGACATAATCATGACAGCCACAAATCAGAACTGTGCTCAGGGGAGGTCCTTATCTCGATGTAGGTTGCACACGTACACTCGGATCGGTAGGATGTCATCCGACCTACACCATCAGAATCCAAGGCGTATGACCGACAAAAACGTATGTATTGCCGTTCTCAAGACGCCGTGCAAATCAAGTCCACGGATAAACTCTGTTAGTACATACATGTAGATCTACCCCCGATGGAATGCTAAAGTGTTCTTAGTATCCGATGTACTTCAATACACCCAGTGCTTCGGACAGCAGACTTACCAAACAAGAGTACTTGCACATGTATGTCGGATCACAGTACGTACTAAGCGAGATCCGCTGTACTTCCACTTGATTACTGGTAGCGCTTCCCTGGCTTTAGAAATGCGTGTTACCTGAAATGCAGATACATTTAGGTATTGACATTTTGGTCTTGAAAATGACGTAGTGTGAATGATGAGCTGTGCAATTGTATTATCTTGGTGAGAAGGCCGGTCGTTAGTTGCACCCTGGATAGGTGCACGCAACATCAATGACTAAAGAAGTCTTCTCAGAGTTCTGATATGATTAGGCAAGCGGAGGAGAAAACACCCAATTCATTCATTCTGGCTATCAGAAAGAACTTGTCCAGCGTCAGTCCTCGCCCCATACTCCTCGCAGACCGTACCGATGACAACAGGCGTCTCTGCAGAAGCGGTTATAAACGTCTAGCTCGCACCCCATCACCATGTTCAAGGCCGGCATGGACGCCCTGTCCAGGCGCAGGCAGAATGGTGAATGGCGGGCGGACCAGGATTTCGAGGAAACTGAACTGTACTATGCTGAAAAGGGGCTGGGTAAGCCAAAAACATGCAAATACTACGAATACACACATACACGTGTCCGTACACACACACACACACACACACACGCGCGCGCACACGCACACACACACACACACACACGCACGCACACACACACACGCACATGTGAATATGGAATTATACCAACAATGACTTACCCGTAGATACGAATGGCGTAGGCCTGAATGAGCTGGACTGTTTCTGAACAGTACGAATATTTCCAGTTCATAGATCCTAGTCGCATTGCGGGAAGCACCGCGTGATCCTCAAGAGCTGGATCCAGAACTTGTGGTGCCTGCCATGTCCAGTGAACCAATAGAATTTCACAATATTAATATTATGATAAACGCCCTGTTCTACCCCATGTAGCATGTCGACTTGCGTTCATGATAGAGCAATGCACAGTCATCCATCTTCCAGGTACTCATTATTATCGTATTACACAACTTAGCTGGTTACGAATACATAATTATAGCCGTACACATCTCGATCCACCTAGGCTAGTATCGACATCATTAAATTTTACAAAGTTACCCAACTGGGTTCGGTTATTTTTAAACTACTCAACGACTAGCGAAAGGCAATAAATACCATTGTAACTAGCAACACTAGATTAGAAGGAGCAAAATCTGTCACGTACTAGTACAACATGAATTGTGGTGTAAGCCAGTCACCATGGTCACGACAATGCTGATGTTGTCCTTGGTCACAAAGGTAGGCCAGGAAGGTGTGAACAGACTCGATAAATGTTATTGATGCAATGATGGGCACTGGCGCTGGTTACCTGGGGAGCTGCGAGAACCTTCGGCATCAGTCCTGAAGGATATGAAATATAACCACACTTAGCTTAGCAGACATGGTGAAAAACACCACACTATGACAGGGATACCGTGAGCTTTTGCGCCACTTGGATACGCGCCTACGTCACACAATACCCTACGTACCCAAACCTCCTTTCGTCGCGCAATAGATCAACCTGTGGCCTCGCTGAGTGAGGCACTTTATCACATACAGATCTTCTCACATTGCATCGTACAAAACAAGAATGCGCACAGAATGCAACTTTTTCCTGTCGTTTGACGCTTTGGCCCAAGTAATCTATCTTATAGATTCTACGCCGATTCGATTATGCCGAGCAGACCAAACAGGAGTAAGGAGTTTTGCTGCTTGCCTAGGTACATATATTTTCATTTTTTTCTTTGTTCCATGCCTCATTATTTTCCTGTTCACTTTGTTTCACTTGCAGTTCTCCCTTCGTCCTGTTTTTTCCCCATTCGCCCTATTCTCTCCCTACTATTTTCTTTCTCTTCCTTCTCTCTCCATCCCTCTCAATTTTATATTTTTGTTCTTTGATCCTATTCACAGGTATCCCTCGCCAGACTAGTCGCCGACTCCCCGGGCAAGTGCCTTCCGATGGTCCAAGCCGAAGCACACTCGTTCCGCACACAACGAACTTGGTCCTGGACATCCTCCCTGGCCAGGAATATCGAGACACGAATCCGAGAGGCCGAGCAGGCCTACGTTCGCTGACTGGTGTACACCGGCATACAGCAGGGACAAGAGCCGCACACACAATCCAAAGATCATCCGCATTACCTCGACCACGCCTTCACGTGACGGGGCACACGACACGTAGTCAAACCTCGTCCGCGTTACATCGCCACACTCACCTGCCGCAAGCTGGGATTGGAGTGCCTCTGCAGTCCCAGCAGCAGCAGCAGCAGCAGCAGGACCAGCAACAACATCTGCCGCTGCCGCTGCAACAACATCAACAGCAACACCATCCGCTGCTTCAGCAGCGGCAGCATCAACCGCAACTGCAGGAACAGCAACAGCAGCAACAGCTGCAACATCATCGGCAGCAGCAGCAGCAGAACCAGCAGCATTATCTGCCACTGCCGCTGCAACAACATCAACAGCAACAACATCTGCTGCGTCTGCAGCGGCAGCATCAAAAGCAACTGCAGGAACAGCAGCAACATCAGCAGCAGCAGCAGCAGCGGCAGCAGCAACAGCAGCAGCCAACTATCGGGCAAGCAGCAGTCGGCGAGCCCGTAACGTTCCACCCGGAGGTACTCGGCTCCGTTTACGGGCACCAGCAAAGATCAAGGCCTCCCATGCAAGTGGTGGACGTTGCTCTTGGCGAGGATTATGCTCGGAGGGGAAATGACGAGACCTTCACGCGTCTGTACGACAAACAAGCGGCACGTATGGGAGTCAGAATGCCGTCTTGGGAGATTCGCCTGCAAGGCAACCCACAGCTGATCGACCAGTACCTAGCAGCCATGATGGGACGGACAGTGCAACAGGGAAATGCTCAGGTGGCTGCGGGGCAAGAGCCACACGTGCAGTCGTTCAGTCACCAGTACGCACAAGAACACCCGCATGGAGAGTCAGCTCGGGACCCGACACACCAAGGTATGTACATAATTGTGACATGTGCACTAGTTAAAATTTAAAACATTTTAATTTTTAAAACAATATTGGTTTTTTGGAAAGTGAATCTGCGCTCGGCTGAGGAGTGCTAACAACGATCGAAAGAGCTAGCTGTCGGAAGATTGAGGAAACTTATTATAATAATGTTTCCCCTAGAGGCTAGACAACCTGGAAATAGATTTCTGCTGCATCGATATAGTGGCAACGAACAGCTATGTGGCAGCACAAGTAAGTCAGCGAAATTCCTGATGCTTGCACGTGCTGTGAAGTGAAATACCGGCGGTTGAGTTTGCCATTGAACGTCTTGATGGGAACGACTTTAGACTGCGAGACGTGTTAGACTGAGAGAATGATTACCAAAGTACAATAGGACTATTGTCGATTTCTTCTGCATTCACCTACCTAGATATAGGAGATCGTGCCACGGTGGCGGTGTGGTGTTATGATTCCGTGGCCCTTACAGTGACTTGGCCCTTACAGTGACTTGGCCCTGCCCTCTCAATGTCTTTCTCGTAACGATCAGGGACGGTTGAGCAGGGAGTTGAGTTTGAAGTAAAATTGGCACATTAACTGGATGTGCTTGATCCTGTTTTGGTAAGCTCACCATCCAAACCATCCCCTGCTTTCTCTCATTGTACTATTATGGTTTCACTAGACGCACAGCCGCCCGGAGAACCGGTAAGGGACCATCGCGAAGCGCCGAGGAACCAGCCGCCATTTCAAGTCCTTGACATGTCTGGGTAAGTCGTTTCCGGCTCATACATGTACATGGAGTTCCACTTGTCCGTTGATCTCATTTATCGTATGGATAGTGCACTTTGGTCTGTTGAATAGTGGTGCACCATGCATTTTGGTCTTCATTTGTGTTCAAACCGCACATGCTGCAAACCATGCTCTAGCGATGTTTCGATCTCTCACCTTTGTACCTACATGACTGTATGCCTATGCTACAGTCAAGGATTGCAAGAACTTCCTGCAGCGGAGAAAGGTGTCGTCTTCGGGTCTATGACGCTGCAGAAGAACTGTCTCAAGTCCCTTCACAAGCTCTGGAGTTTCCCGCTCCTTCTGTACCTGGACGTGAGTGGTAATCAGCTGAGGTCCCTGTCTGGAGTGCAGGAGCTGCGTGCACTTCGGGTGTTGAAGGCAACACGGAATAGGTAAGGGACTCGGGTCAGTGAACAGAACATTCCCATATCCAACAGACATAGCAGAATACCAGTACGCGTATGATATCAGCGTATATGTAGTAGTAGTAGTAGTAGTAGTAGTAGTAGTAGTAGTAGATTTTATTATTTTACTAGGGGAGTCCCAACAGGCGTTGCCTTTTTACTGGGAACCCTAGGTGAATTTTTACCATGTTTACATACAGAGTAAGAGACGGGGCCTGGCGGCAGTCAGTGGGAAGAGCATTCCATCTGTCTGCCGCCAGGAAAGAAATAGAACGCATGCCATATTGCGTAGAAACAGGCGGAAGAACTAATGCGCGCTGTGCCTGGCCGCGCGTGCGAGCCTGGTGTCCAGGCACAGCAGCCCTAAGCTGGAACAAGGATTGGAGAAGGGGACTAGCAAGATGTGGGGTCAAGCAGCGGTACACGAAAACATAGAGTTTAAGATTTGTGCGCTGTTCAAAAGAATAGAGATGATATTTGCGGAGAACAATTTCAGTAGACATCATACGGTCAAACCCAAAAACTTTCTTCATTGCTATGTGACTGACCGTCACGATTTTATTGAACAGGGTGGCGCTGAGACAGTGCAGATAAGCGTTACGTATACCTTCTATTGAGTCGAAAAACCATGAATCAGTGCTTGTAATGCAATAGGTTTGCCACTTGGGTCTCCATAAATTATGTACAAAGCCTCTGGAGCGATGACGTCACGGCGAAATTCCTGAGCTGGTTGTGTTTTCCCTATACAATTGTGGACCAGGTGGTACCGTGACCGCGTGAAGTCCCAGAGATTCTGGCTGTGACGCCATCATCAGGCGATATACCATACACTTCGCTCTCCATATTTTCAACAGTGAGAACGATTTTACCTGTATACCTTCTCCGTGCATTACTGCCAACATCATTGAGATCCCGTTGCCCAGTATTCCTGAGTCCTGCTCCATGTCTACTGCCCTGTACAGTATCGAACGGATCAGCCACATTGAGGACCTGGCGCAATTGCGCATCCTGTCACTGGGACACAACAAGGTAACACCCAAGTTCATCGTGTGCATGAACTTAAGTCTAACATCAAGCTGTGCATTCCTGCTTATGGGTGCGTGGGTTGTGTTACAGTGAAACCTGTCTCAGACGACCACTCAAGGGACATTCAATATGTGGTCTCCATTGCCAGGTGGTCTCCTTATCCAGGGTCATTTTACTGGTAATAGCATCTCTTGGTCCTGGCTGCAGTGGTCTTCTGGGCCAGGTGGTCGCCTTATCCGAGTGGTCGCCTTGACAGGTTTTACTGTATAATAATAATAATAATAACTTTACAAATAATCTACGTGGAGATAAAAGTTTAATAATAGCAATGAAAAGTATGAATGCCGCAGACATCACCACGCAACATGACAATTTGTTCAAGGTTTGGTTTTGTGTGTTTCCAAAATCGATTTTCACGTTCCGATCATCACTGTTCATGCCCGTTTGTCACACTTACTCTTTATTTTAGTTCTCACTTTTTGTAAAACTTACCACAAGTTACCCGTCATGTGTCACACTTCTTTGGATTTTTAACCTTTGTTTTTCCCTTGATCTCTTTAGTTCCGTATTTCCACTGATGATAGGAACGTGAAAATCGATTTTGGAAACACACAAAACCAAACCTTGAACAAATTGTCATGTTGCGTGGTGATGTCTGCGGCATTCATACTTTTCATTGCTATTAATAATAACTTTATTAGGATGACCCAAAGGCTGACTGCCTATTATTGATGGTTCCTTATGTTGTGCTGCATGTATGAAACTTCACTCCTCAGCTCCAATAACGGTCTCTTTACTGCGATTCAAATCAATAATTATTATATCACACTAAAGTATCGTGCCTGACCCATGATTATTACAACCCTGATGGATTGGCCAGGCCCGACAATCCGGTGTAATATAAATTGATTATTTCATCGCAGTAAAGAGACCTTTACTTGAGTTCAGGAGTGAAGTTTCACACGTGTAATTGGCTGCGTTGGAGTTTGCGGACAATAAGAAAAGCGTAATGTCTTACCTCAACGAAGCTCTGCTGCTACATTAAAAAATCTGCCCCGGAATGCATTCGAACCTTGAGTAAAGTTATATCCACTGTACATATTTGATTCAACTAAGAAGGATCCGACTGAGCTTGAACGATGCTATGCGTTCCGGGTTATGGATGCAGTTTCTGCTGTGTTACGTGCAGATCGAATACATCGAGGGCTTGAACAGACTTGTGCGTCTGGAAGCCCTCCATCTCTCCAGGAATAGGATTTCGGTGCTGAGCGGTCTTCGTACCCTTGGCAACCTCAGGGAACTGCACATGAGGCGAAACAAGCTGACTCACGTGGTAAGTGTACTGTAAAACCGGAACGTCTAACGAGGCACGAAATAACGTTTTAACGACCAATTATTTTTCGTTATTTGAAAAATACGTTATCGCTAGATGTCTGTGTAAAGATGCGCATACAGATGGGCGGCCAGGTAGCCATCGTTAAACTTTCTGCACGTTATCATGCCAACATTACAAAAACGTTAAACGTTTTGGTCGTTAGACTTTTCGGTTTTACAGTACTCCTCTGGTAACCACATGTGGTATGCGTGGCGCAAGCTAGTACAGTGAAACCTGTCTCAGACGACCACTCAAGGGACATTCATTATGTGGTCTCCATTGCCAGGTGGTCTCCTTATCCAGGGTCGTTTTACTGGTAATAGCATCTCTTGATCCTGGCTGCAGTGGTCTTCTGGGACAGGTGGTCGCCTTATCCGAGTGGTCGCCTTGACAGGTTTTACTGTGCATGTAGTTGTAACCATGTCCATGGTCATTAGCTGGAACTGTGCACAGTCAGGGATTCAGTTAGCCATCCATTATACATGTACATATTCATTGTTTTGAGGGAAAGATGCAAACGGGAAATGTCCCAAGAAACAATTGACTGTCACCAGCAGGACTCGAACTGGGGACCTTCGCTTGAGGCCAGCGATGCTGTAACCACTGAGCTATGGCGTAGCTGTCATCCCTGCAGAGACCGTTCAGCATTCCCTTCACACTTCATGTTTTATCACCTATAAGTTATCTCTCACAACCACCTAAATACTACTGTCCCAATGCCATGTCTACACTTCACACATACGCACTAACTTCCACACTAGCATCAAATATCTAGGCCTGCTCGTAGAGGATTCGATAGTAAAAACATTAATGCTGCTGTCTGATGATCGCTGAAGTGCGTGAAACTTAAAGTTAGAGCTACATCGCCTTTCGCCTCTGCTTTGTGTGTATAACACATATGCATCTTTATGCCCGAGGGGTAGAAAAATTAAAGTCTCTGAAGAAAAATAATAATTTATTAATAGACCGTCACCACGAGGACACGAATCAGGGGCCTTTCTCGCCTATGGCCAGCAGCAACGCTCTCCCACTAAGCTTTTGTATTCCTCCTCCCAGAAGAGACTGTGCAACACATTCCCCAGACTTCGATATCCGCGCTTCCTGTGAAACTATAATATTATGGATGCTGGTGGCACACAGCCTGTGCAAACATACCCCACGCACTAGCTAGTTCACAGGGAGCCCGAGCTCCAATACATCAAATATTCATCAATTTGAGGGAGTGAATGTTTTGCATTGTTTCCACGTCGGCTCTTTACCAAGAACCTAGCTAAATATACCATGATATACTAACCACAAAATCACCTGGGAGGGAGGGGTTAGGGTGAGGACAATGGGATTTGTATGTGATAGGAAATAGTTGAGGGAACAAAACAACTTTAGGCATGGTATGCGTGTATATGTTTGTATACATTCACCTGTGTGTAATGGATATTGTAGACCGCTGTCTAATATCCTCAGGGTGCGTATTGTGCACTATTCCCTGTGGACTGTCCGACGAGTGGTTTGTACCACTAAACTCTGAGTAACGGCAGAGATAGACTGGGTTCTGTCTAGGGCTGAGTCGGGTAGCATTTTCTTCGGGTATCGGGTCCGGGTAGTTTTCCACGGGTAGCACGGGTACCCGATCGGGTAATGTTTCCATGGTAACACCACAATGCACACCGGCACCTTCCCTTACGCACTGGGTAGACATGCGTGAATAATTTGTACATGTGCACTGTACATGAGGTCATCTGCGACTTCGGGTTCTCGGGTACTATTCGGTACCCGTCTACCCGAGGTCCTCACCGGTAGCACGGGTACCCGACTACCCGTGCACACCACTAGTTCTGTCATTGCTGTGTGAGGTTTGCAAATTTTATTGTATTTGGGTGGGTGTATGTGTGGGTTTGTGAACGAGCACATGTGTGTGTGTGCTTATGTGCTTGTGGGTATGTGTTTGTGGATGGGTGCCTGTGCGTGATCGCCGTATCCGTGACTGTTTTTGTGTGCACATGGTTTCATAGCTGCCTAACAGCGGAATATCAGATTGCCTATGGCTGGAGTTCGTGGATATAAGCTACAATCGGATACAGGAGTAGGTTATTTTTTTGCATTTGTAAACCATTCGTGTGGATGCAAGGGTGAGTTCCAATGTCTAGTGAATACAATGTAGTACGGAATTTTTCCCCTTCAGTACATTGATCCAATCCTCTGTACTGAGTACGGCGTTTTTGGAAAATCCGTGGTTACCAGGAAAACTGAAGGGAAGAATTCAAAGCTCAGGGAGTCTCTTTTCCCCAAACTACTTAAAAGATGGGTACAAAAGGGGTTTTCAGAACATAAAATTAATATTTTGTGACTTATTTTTGTCAACATGAAATTCATGATTTTCGACAGCATGTTTTTTTGCAGCTCTTTATCTAGTTAAAGTAAAAGCTTTGAAATTTGATTGGCAGCTGCGGAACTCTGCAACACTCCATACTCTAACAACTTGTCTCTTTAGTACAAAGGGGCAAACCGCTGTGCTAAAAATATGCTAGAAAGGGCCAATCAGACTTGTGGCTCTAGTGCAATTCCACTCGCACACGAAAATGACTACATGTATGTACAAGTCAATGATAATATAGAACAGACGATATGGAGAAAACTGAAGACTATCGGATCGATACTGGAAATGCATTTTGTGTCTGTGTGTATTTCATTTCAAGGTTGAAAGATATCGAAGGTGTGTTCCCGTTGCCAAATCTTGGTCATCTTGTGACCAAGGGCAACCCGTTCACAGAGTGTGAGAACTACATGGAAGACGTGGTGTGCCAGATCAGGTCTTTGTGGCGCGTCGACAGTACGGATGTGAATGTAAGCACCATACATGCACATGTTTTCGTAGAAAAAGCTGCCGCTATTCTCGGTAGCCAAAGATAACACAGCTAGGCGGTCTATATATATACAAGCACCATGTACATGTAAATGGGATGGAAACTTCCAGTGACGTTGAATTTTCGGTGTGATAGATACCTCGTGATGCTCCATATAGAAGAATCAATCTATTTCACCTTCCCGTGGCCAGGGAATATAGGCCAACATAAAGGTAGGTGGGAGGGGTGAGATAGCCAGCCATGGCAGTAAGGAAAAACAATGCAACAGTTTAGTTATAAAAGTTTCTGTGAGCATAGGTATAAGCACATTGTCCGAAGGCGTGAGCAATGCACGGGAGTACGATGGCATCAGGAATGCACTGTTCGCTACACCCTACACGACACAAACATCCCCATGTGGGGACGTGGGGTGTAATGTAGGTGATACACAACTGTGTATCATCTTTGCTACTCCGCTAGTACATGTAGCATGTTCTTGTACTTCTGTACGGTGTACCTTTTCTTTTTCATTAAAAAATGATTTTGTTTGTTTTGCTTTTCGTTAGTTGTGCCTGGCCAATGCTAATAATTATCATATTCTGCCCGTATAGGAGGCTTTCTCAACCTTCCGTAATCTGTACTTTGGTTGTATTCCATTCAGCCGGAAGACCGTGAGAAGGCGCTGTCCCAGAGGGAAACGAGTGAGATTATAGAGCAGGACTTGAAGCGGCGGAATGTGCAAGTGCTGACGTTTGAAGCGTCCCGCACCCTGGCCGCAACGCACTGGGAAACCGAACACGCGACGGCAACCAGGCAGTAAGCGTAGCGTCACTCGTTGCTAGTATCATTATGTTTGTTTTGTGCGTCGCCGATATCATAGTTGTTGATGTTGTCATTGTTGTGGGAAGAAATCCATTTCTCACTCCAGACGCATAACTTTGACTCAATGTATGTGAAAGTAAATGAGTGCCTGAATGGTTGCCTACATTGCATTCGACGTGCGTGGTGAGAGGTCGCGGGTTCAAGCCCTGCGGTCGCACATCTGACTGCACATCCCCATGACGCAGGTCACCAGATGAAGCTAGGTGCGGATCATCTTCACTCAGTAGAGACAGAGTCGAGCGAACTATACATATACATGTTTTTCCGGTGTCGAAAGGCGGGCTCGCCACCCCTATATGGCAACTTGCCCATGTCTAAGCCCCAAGACAAAGTGAGTACTGTTGTACAAGTAGTCATACTGGTCGAAGTTAAAAAAATGTGCGTGGTCAGTTCTAGGGTTACACTCAATGATTTGCTAAACAGATAGGAATGCAGGAGTGTCGGGTTTCTCGTATGTTCCAAAACATCGCAATCGGTAACATGCATGGTGATGAGGACATCACTTCGCGATGCATTGAACTCGTAGCATCCTGGATGTTATTCCTTCTCATTTTAATGTCCTGCTGATATGATTGTCCTGTAGAAGACCGGGAGATCCTGGAAAGGCTCGCTCCTGCGCTCAGCTGCCGGATGATGAAAACCAGTAAGAAGTACAGAATTGTACAGCTCTTGGGTTTCTTGCGGTGTTCTGCGTCGCCAAACTGGCGAGTCTGGGAGCAGGGAACAACTGCAACTGCAATTCTGTTAGCACTTTATCTTGTCCGGAACCCCTATTGGTTATCTCTGCCCTAGCTTCCCAGGGCATTTCAGGGCTTTCCAGGGCTTTCCAGGCAGTACCGGCTAGATACGAGAAATTTATAGTGGTAATATTATTATTATTGATGAGGAGCATTCAGCACAGAATAGATAGATATGTGATCACATGCTCTGTGCGCTGGGAAATATCCCTGACACACTACTTGAGCTGTGTAAGTCCCAGCGCCACTGAACACATGAACTGTAGCCCTACTGCTCTTCTTCTATTCTTCCTTATCTCTCTCTGTTATTCGCTTTCCTGTAATTAGGCATGCTTGCCCGTTTGAATCGCGAATTAAAAACAGACATAACAACAGCAACAACAATTGCTACGAGCGTTTCACACTACGATAGGCACCTTTGTATGACAATATACTTTTTGCGCTGACTTTGAGTGTCGAATTTGTTTCTACGAGTGATTTGCCCATGCTAGAGCAACAATTTTGTTTCTGCTTCCATGTGCTGTTTGACTTTGCCCAGGCCGCCTGCATTCGCATACGAAATCCAAGGCACGCAAGTTCATCTCTGTGGCTGTGGTTCGTTGAAACTCTACGCAAATCGTCCAAGCGACGGCGAGCCACAGAAGGTGGACACCATGCTCATCGAGCTGATGTCCATGGGCGAGATTCTCTATCAACTTGACCTCATCACGCCAATTTGCAAGAATGTTCAGGTGGGTTTATGCTTGGGTAGTATCAAGATGGCGACCACAGAAGTTTTTGACGTTACGCGCAATTTCACGTTAAATTTGCCGTAAAACTCCAAATTTCGACGTGACCTGCAGGTCTGTCGCGTTGCTTTCCGGAACGCAAGCCGAACTTTCGTGTCATGTCAAAAAATAACGTTCAGCTTGATTTAACCTCTCTGATAGCCTTGGTTTTCTTAGTTAGGGGCATAGCCACAGGTACACTTGAAGTCATTCATGACTATTGGGACGCTGCGAATGCGCATCATAATTATCCATTCAGCATGGTTTGGTACTGCATGCATTTGGCAGCACAATCGATGGAACAACTGGGCTCTCTGTTATGTTGCAAACCAGTCAGCATATGAGTGCACCATTGTTGGCTCATTTTCCTGTCTTCTTGACAGAGATACGTTTGCGCGGAATATGTTCATTGTTGATTTACTGAAATCAAAACTGCTGAAGTAGAACCATATCATTCTGTGAACAAATATCACGGATCTGCGATCAGAGAGAAGGACTCGGGGACCACCTTTCGATGTCATCTGTGACCTGGCTGTCAATTTGCACACAATGCATAATTTTCTTCCTCTCTCTCTCTCTCTCTCTCTCTCCCCCTCTCTCTCCCCCCCCCTCTCTCTCTCTCTCTCTCTCTCTCTCTCTCTCTCTCTCTCTCCAATTAACGTTGTCCACCATTTTTTGTTTGTTCTTTTTCACTATTGTACGCAGACTCTTCAATTGACCAATACTCATTTGGAAACCTTGCCGCAGCTGAATTCACTCGCACGGGCTTTCCCCAGTCTTCAGTCATTGATAATCGACACGGAGGGGAATCCGGTGACGAATATCTCCTATTGGAAAGAGTACACCATCTACGCATTCAGTCAGCACCAGCTCTGCGATTTCAATTATGAAGAGATTACGGATGCCCAGCGAACGCAAGCGCAGGCATCGTTCCGCACACTATCCAGTGTCCTGGATGCCACGTACGCCTGCTCATTGCACCACACAGCAGGAGCAGCAGCAGCAGAAGCAGTAGCAGCAGAAGCAGCAGTAGCAGCCACAGAGGATGCGACTGCCACCGACCAAGATAGTCAGACAGTGAGCAAGGAGCGTGCACTGGACGAATCGGTGCATGACCTGGGCCCTATCGTGGATGGAGCGCAAGCGAAAGAAGAGGATGGTCAACCTGGGAATACGGCTGAGCAGTAAGTGAGATTTGATTTCAGAACATGATTGAGCTGACAGCTGTCCGAATGCTAATTTATTGTGCATCGGAAGAGGTTACTTTGGGCGTAAGAGTTATGTGTGTGTGTGTGTGTGTATGTGGTGTGTGTGATGTGCGTGTGTGTGCGTGTGTTTGCTGTTTGTGAAAGTTCATGCATGGTTGCCGGCAGTTTGTGAAGTGTAAAATAATCAGATTATGGGTTTCAGACTGTCACACAGCCATTCATTTGTGCTTGAACACGTTTTTGCCAGAGGTGTGCAAGGCCCGAAGCCTTCAGAGCTATCCAAACTGCCTCACTTCGCGCCAATTATGCAGATGCCCGGGCCAGCAACTGATCTGCAGGTGAGTTACGCTGTGCTAGGTTGTACACACACCATCATGGCCACCCAGCCTCCCCCCCCCCCCCCCGCACACACACACACACACACACACACACACACACACACATCATTGGACATTGAACGCCCATCGCCGGAGGCGATGATAGCGATGCTACAGCAGAAGCCATAGCAACCTGTGCTGGGATTGCACCATTCAACAGCTTGCAAGGCTGAAGAATTGGCCGCCACTATTCAGCCTGGTCTACACCACACAGCTATGAAGTGGCTTTTTTTGGCCAGTGAAACACATACACACACACACACAAACACATCCCTACCACCATATCCGCTTCCATTATTTTTATTTCACCTGATGATGGACAAAAAGGAAGGGACAAGCCTACCTAGTGTGGAGGATTTTCTGTGACAAATAAAAGATGGTGAAAAAGGAGAAGGACAAAATGTTACGAGTTATGACTAACTGTCCACCAACGTAACCAGATCTTATGCAGTCAGCGAGTGCGACAAAATGGCACAAAAGTGACAAGGAGTACTGAGACATTCGGCGACCTGACACCTAGCTCCAACACTCCTCCAAGGCACAAACCAACAACCTTCCAACTTGGAAGGCTCAGGTTCAGAAAGGTCCAAGAGGGGAAGGAAAGCGCAACGAAGAAGAGCATGAGCTACGCATCACGGCAACAAAGAATGCCGAAAGTTACTATGATGACGAAACTAGTAAGACTATTGACATACCGGCCATACTACAACTCGACGGGTTCCCCTCGTAGACCTTTCCGAACCTGAGCCTTCCAAGCTGGAGGGTTGTTGGTTTGCGCCTTGGAGAAGTGTTGGAGCTAGGTGTCAGGTCGTCGAATGTCTCAGTACTCGTTGTCAGTTTTGTGCCATATTGTCGCACTCGCTTACTGTATAAGATCTGGTTACGTTGGTGGACAGTTAGTCATAGCTCGTAGCATTTTGTCCTTATCCTTTTTCACCGTAATCTAATTGGCTCACCGTCCGAGTTGAACAAATAATTATACTAAGACAACACAGGCACACAATGTTACGTGCTTGCATTGCAGTGGTCGGCACAATATACGTTTTCTCGAAGTATTACCTCTGGTAAAGCTTATCCCTTTGTGAAGGTCCCTGGTTCGAGTCCTGGTAGTTACAGTCAACGTTTTAGACTTTCCCCTATTCCATTCCCTCAAAATTGAATAGTGAACATCCCTGTATTCGCAGCCATTACAAGGCTCTTGTCTGATGATCTGTATTGCCTCAGGTCGATTGTTCCCCGCTAGAAGCTGTGATTCAGTCAAGCGTGCTGCGTCTACGTGTGGAGCACACATTCAGAGAACTTTGGCCAAGCTTGGCGCAAGACATGGTGCTGGATAAGCTGCTGGAAATGTGGCATGTGGCCGAGTACGAACGTAAGAAGCGAGAGTTCCTGTTCGATGATCGGAAGCCTGACTAGCTTCTGCCAGACTCTACAGTACAGACCTTGAAACGATCCGCTCATTGTCTGTACAAGCATTGCACAGTATCCGTTTGCAGTTGCTAGTCAAGGCTGTGAAGGAACACCATCATAACAATACCCACCATCTCCTAGTGAAAAAACCCACTTGAACATCGTGATCACCAGAAATGTTCAATTTGCAAACTTGATTCATCTCCGTTTTTATAAACCGATTCCACGCAGACTATGGCGTCCCTGCTTCTTGGTCTCCTCGCTAGCCTAGATTTCCATCCAACTATCATAATTATTGAGTTAATATCAGGCAATGTTATTTAAAATACATCTTCGCCTATGTAGACAAAGTGTCTCAGGTCCTTGCTGCAAAATGGTGCTCAATACCCTAATACGGGCAGAGTGTGCTACATAAGGCAGAGCAACAGCCACCAGCATCTTTCCTGTGACTCTGAGGTTATGCGATACACGTCATATAGTACGTTTGCCACACCAAATTCTTCTATATAAGGGTTTCTGTACGCGCTTTGGGCATTTTGCCACCCCAACTGGCTCCTATAATAAATGGCGGATTTGACGTGATCGCATAACCTTTTACACAGTGCTGATCACTAAGTCTGATCATGTGAGTCGATGCCGTGGCCTACGCTGTGCTGCACCTGCAACTGTGAAGACCATGGTGTAAACAGGTGCGTAGTGTAGAGGTAGACTTCTTCAGTCATGTGACAGGATTTCATTTTACATATCCACTCGGTTTATCGCATTCCCAACTCGTCACAACCACGCGCTCTCAGCCGAACCACACAGACACCAGCAACGACACTTCCGTTCAGAGATAATACGGAGGATTAGCAAGACGAAATTCGCGTTCGCGTTCGCACTCCAAGGAAAGTCGAACTCGGTGACGGAATTCGCGTTATGAGAAGGATTAGCAAACAGAATTCGCACATGCATGATGTTGACACGATATACAAGTACAGCGTGGTAAATTTATGACTGCCCTGACACGAATCCGCGATTCGTGTTCCGACTACTTTTCCGAACGAAAACTGCGAAAGTTCGCAATCCAGTTCGCGACCTGAAAAATGTTTGCGAACGCGAACACGAATTTCGTCTTGCTAATCCTCCGTAATATGTCCACGCCTCTAGACAGCTGTTTCGCTCCCTGCCGGAGCTCATCAGTAGAGGATGATAATGATATCCACTGGGGGTAAAAAAGAAACGTGTCCCATTCCAAAGTTTTTAGAATTTCTAATAGTACTAGAATTTTTCTCTATTATAGCTTGCTATATCTTGATTACATGGCAAGTGCTGATAGAAGTACTGAAAATACATGGTTAACGTATGGTGCCTACGTAAAGGCTTAAACTCCACTCCATCCCAGGGAATAATTCAAATGCAATTTGGCGAAAACTTGAAATAGAAAACAGTGCACAAGAACAGGAGAGAATGATAATGCCACTTTCAGTAAGGGCGATCGTTGTTCAAAATATAGCTATGCCTTGCTAAAGGAGCATATGTATAAGAGAGAGAAGAACATGTTATACCACCACCAGGTAAGAAGCATTCGAAAGCTGCGGGCGGTTGAGCGCAGCATTTCAAATTTATGGGGGCATTTCAAATATTTATAACGTATATATCCACCAATACCTGCCAAGCCTGAAATCACACGGCCTGCTTGGCAGTTGGCTTCGGGTCCTTGTCTTCAAACGGTGGTGGGTCGTCCCTGAAAGAGCCCTCGAATGTGGTAGGGTCGGCAAGTATCTACGCACGGTCACTAGGGGCAGTTATGTTCACGGATCCAGACTTTTGCTTGCGATAAGCTCTGAGGTCAAGAATGGCGAAGATCAGATGGAGGAGCCAGCAACCTGAAACTATCCAGGATCCTATCTGCATACACACAGACAAAATCACCAATGTGCGCAAGCTAAGTTCCACATCAGCAGAGAATGCCGACCGTTACAGGGCAATGGCGAGACTAGTTGAGAACTTGACAATACAATCTAACTACCATTCGAAGCAGGAAAGCAACACACAAACCAACTTTGGTGAATCGACTGATATTCACAAGAAAGCATTCCTTAAAGTCATCACACTGTTCTCTGGCCAGCTTTCAAGATAGGAAGTGGGGTCTCTTCAGCCCCTCCCCTTTCAATTGGACTCACCTGAGCGATGTTCAGTGTTGGGAACCATTCGTAGCCTGGAATATGATCATCTAAATGTCCTAAAGTGATTGTCTTGCAATTCCTGTTGAAAGGAATTTTTGGAGCCGCACCACCACATGTTGCCCGACACAAACACAAACAAGTAGATTACAATCAGGCGACAGATTATAAAGACAGCTTTATCACATTCCGATGAAGCGGGACGGGGGGGGGGGGGGTGCTGTAGCACTTGCTAAAACACAAGCGGAGAGAGAGGTAGACCTGATCTAGCTTATGCTGGATGACAGAGTGAACGAGGGAGGGAGAGAGAGGGAGAGAGAGAAAGAGAGAGAGACAGACAGACAGAGATAGAGTGACACACACATGCAAGAAGCACAGACAGGCAGATGTACAGACGATTGGACAGACAGACGGACGGACGGACAGACAGACAGAGACACAGAGACGTAGATTAACAGCGGAATATAGCTATCAATTTCGATAGATAGACATATTATACCTAGGTAGATAAGTTACACGACGGATATATACATAGATGGATATGTTTGATAGAAAGGTAGAGAAAAGCCAGAGAGATCTACAGACGAACAGACAGTATCCAGATTCACTTACGGGTTTCCCTCCTTGGTATCGCTCAGGTTGCCGCAAAACACTGATATGCCACCTGATATGATGATTGAGGCGACGAGTGCCAAAATCAGCAAAACGATAAGGAAGATCACCTCAGCAATGACTCGACTGCTATGGCTGTACATACACAGAAAACACAACAAGATTGTGCTCTATACACATGAATCCATGTACAACGGTACATGTATGCAAGAATGCATTGATTAAAACCTGCACCCGGCACAAAAACATGGGGACGTGGATTGCCTCTGCTATGATGGGTGTCTGGAGGGGGGTGGGGGGAGGGGAGGTGGATTCAAAAAGCCATCTCACTATACACCACTAAGGAAACAGACTGAAGGCAGCAGACACAATCACTTTCTGTCACCAGTGCACCCAACAACGAACTCGCTGGCACACACATGCACACAACATGTTTATAACCAGATTCTAGCAGTGGCGTATGCTCTGTTTGGATAATGTCTACATACAAATACCCTGCTTTGAAGAATGCTGCGTTCATTACCTAATTAAAAGCGATTGTGGTTGCTGCCGCGAAACTTACTTATCAGCTGTTGCTGCTGCAATGCTGCGAATGAAAACGATCGTCAAGAGTATGGCAAGGAGGATGGATATACACGCAAACACAACTGTGAAGGTACAGTTGGCTGCTGGTCCGGTATAAAAGTGGTCCTGGCGTGCCTTCGTGCCCCAAAGGAGGCACGTGCTGCCTACGTTGGATACGTTCTTGCCAACCTCTACCCTGTGAAGGAGCATTTCCAAATTGCAAATGAATGCAAACGCACACATACACCCGTGTATCACACACACACACACACGCACACACACACACACACACACACACACACACACACACACACACACACACACACACACACACACACACACACACACACACACACCTGTCCTGTCCTGTCCTGTAGAGTCACTGCCGCAAAAGGGTCACGTGATCCCATCACTGGGAAACTTGAGAAGAGAGAGAGAGAGGACACGACGCTCGATGACGCTCCAGGTGCACGGGTAGTCGCATCCGCTTGCCGCATATGCACACGTGCTGGAAGGCTGAGCGCTCCTCTGCTGTTGGTCTATGAGCCACCCTTGAACAGCGATGCCTTCCCCGTCCCCGGACACCGCGAAAGCAGCGACCACACCTGTCACAATGCGCGGCACAACATCCCTCCGCCGGTGCCGACGCTCCGGTAGTTCCAGGTGGCACTGCGGCATCCACCGTTGAGGCACACACATGCCGGACCAAGCCACCGCGGCTTCTCAGCCACCGCCCACACCGCCCGCACTGACTGGCGCCCCGCTGCTCAGACACAGGCCGCGCACGCTCCTCCAGACACTTATGCCGAGCCATGTCTCCTTTCCGTGCAAAATCCCGTCCGCATACCGTACATACCACTCGGGGCGGAGGCTCAGGCACATTGTCAGGCTCTTGGTAGGTGCTGCGCCACTCCGCGCGAGACTCACATGCAACATCATACCATGATGCCTCCACGCCACGGGCACGTAGATCTCGGACAGCGCAGTCCTTCCATCTGCGGCGTGGGCCATGTGCTGGGCGACGCTGCAAGAAGGAGCCAAACAGTACCTGTTTTGGGATGCGGTTGTCCGGCATCCGCGCCACATGCCCCAACCACTCCAACCGCCGATGTGCAATTTTGTCTTTAATCGTCTCGGAGTCTCCCCAGCGCACCAGCAGCTCTTCGTTGGTGATGTGTTCGTCCCACATCCGGCTTCGAGAGACCCCGAGGATGGATCGGATGCACCTCATGCTGAAGGTTGAGAGCTTCTGCAGGTCATGCTGAAGGGGCGTCCAGCACTCAGAGCCATACAACAGCAGGGACAGAACGCAAGCATTGAATACGCACCGCTTGGTGTGCATCAGCAGATGTGGATTGGAGAATACAGACCTCCGAAGAGCACCGCAGGCCCTGGAGGCTTGGGCAATCCTTGCGGCGATGTCCCGGGACGAACGGCAACCGCTGTCCACTACAGAACCGAGGTATTTGAAATGCGGTACGCATTCCACCTCCGCTTGACCAAGTTGGAGGGGAGCGCGGTCAGTAAGCGTGATGCCGGGGCCAACAACTACAAACTGAGTCTTCGTTGCACTGATGGTCAAGCCGAATCCCGACGCCACCTCGTGAAGACAGCACAATGCTGCCCCCGCTCCAGACCGAGTCGTAGCGAATAAACAAGAGTCGTCAGCAAATTGGGAATCTGTTAGGCAATGGTGTTGGTCGTCACGGCGGGGTTTACGGTATAAATCGCTGCTGTATGCTGAGCGGAGCTCGAAGCCAACCCCGTCAACTCTCCTGACGCGGTGTTGCCACTGGGTCATCACGGCCCACATAAAGATATTAAAAAAAACCGGCGCCATAGAGCACCCCTGGCGAAGACCATTGCCAATGCTGAACGGGTCTGATAATATGTTGTTGAACTGCACCGATGCTGACATGGGGTCGTGGAACGACCGGATGATGTTGATAAGCTTTTCTGGTACTCCCGCACGGCCGAGGACCTGCCACAGACACCCCCTGGGCACTGAATCATAGGCCTTCTTCAGGTCGATAAACACAAAAAATCCCTTGGCCTGATGTTCGATTGACTTTTCCATGAGCTGTCGGACGGTGAAGATCATGTCAGAGCAGCCACGCCCTCGCCGGAACCCGCACTGGGACTCAGGGAGAAATTCCTCCGCGAATACCTGCAGCCTTCTCTGAAGGACACTCGCCAAGACCTTGCCGACCACATCCAGCAACGCAATGCCCCGCCAATTGTCGCACTGCGACAAATCTCCCTTCTTTGGAATGGGGATGAGGGTAGCATCCGCCCACTCCCGCGGAACGCAGCCATCTCGCCACACATCTCCAAACAGCTCCATGAGCTTGTTGTTGAGCTCCTCGCCACCGAACTTTAGCAACTCTGGCTGTATCCTCGATGAACCAGCAGCGGTGCCATTGCGAAGTCGAGAAATGGCCTTGGAGATCTCATGCATGGTTGGTGGTTCCTCAAGGCTCGACACTACAGGTCGCTGCTCAACGCAAGCCATGATATCGGGGTTGTACGAGCTCTCTGGGTTCAGGACAGATGTGAAATGCCTCTGGAACCGCTTGCATTGATCCTCAGTCGACTGGCACAGGTTTCCATTCTCGTCCTTAATGGCGGAAGTCTTGCACGGAGTTAATCCCTCACATGCAGCGTGGATAGCATGAACGCATTTCCAGACGACTGCCCCGTTGAAGCGCGCCTCTGTTGCCTCCTGTGCCTTATTCAAAATCCAAGCCTCTTTGGCATTTACAACGGCTGCGCGCGCTTGCGATCGAGCAGCCCCGAAGCTGGCCCAATACGTGTCGCCCCTCTGCTGACCGTGGGCAAGCCACTCCGCGTAGCACTCATTGCGGGCGCGCAGAAGGGGCTGTATGGTTGCAGAGTTGTCATCATACCAGTCGGCCTGACGGCGTTCGCTCGGGCCCAATACATCAGCGGCTGTGGCAACCACGGTATTGCGCACATGGGTCCACTTCTCCCCAACGCTACCATCGCTGCTCCAGCAATCTCGCAATCCAGTAGATAAAGCGGCACGATACTTGTCCGCGGTGGTCACGCAGCGCGGGGGGCGACGTCCCACATCGTTGACGTCTTGTAACGTGGATGCGCAGGAATCCGATTGATCATGCTCGGCCACCGCCTTACTCCGCAGCTTGCCGACATTAAATCGGCGCCCCCGGCTCGCTCCACGTCGGGCAACCCCCACCGGGCGATGCGGGAACTCAAAGACTATACAAAGCAGCTGGTGGTCACTGCCACACTCAGCACCACGAACAACGCGCACGTCCCTGCAAAATCGCCGATGATCCTGACGCATCAAGATATAGTCGATGCAGTGCCACTGCAGAGAGCCGGGGTGCTGCCACGTCCGCTTGAAGATATCCCGCTTGGGGAACCAGGTGTTGCAGATCCACAAATTATTTATTGCTGCAAACGACAGTAGCTCATCTCCAGAGGAATTCAACTGTCCAAAACCATGCATGCCGCGCACACCACTCCAGCCATCGTCAGCTGTTCCTGAACCCACACGGGCGTTGAAGTCTCCAAGCAGAATACAGCAGTCCCTGTCAGGAACGCCAGCTATTACCTCCTGCAACTGTTCGTAAAACTGATTTTTGCTGGCACGCGGAGCTGCATAAGTCGGAGCATACGCACTGACTACCGTCACCCATGCGACTTCTCCCCCACGCAGGGCGAATTTGAGACGTGCAGTGACAAGACGAGGGCCCACAGCCCGCCAGACCGAACCACCATTCTTCCACGCGTCTGTTGCAAATTTATTGAGTGCCAGGGCGACTCCTTCTCCTCGTCTGTTGCCCGGAGCTCCATCGCCAGGCACGGGGCGACCCGAACACAAGATAGTAAAACCGTCAACGACATAAAATTAATGTCATCGCCGAACCAGTGTGTCTCCTGCAATCCAGCCGCCGCCACGCTCAACCTGCGCAGCTCGGCAGCAACACGACGACATTTCTTGTCCTCTGCTACTCGGCCAGAAACGCTCGCCGTAGCTACGCCGCCACTCCTTTCCACAAGGGAGCGAACATTCCACGACCCAAACGTCAAGCAGCGCCGTCCCTCTCTCCCACTCTTCTCCCTCTCCTTGACGTACTTCATAGCTTTTCGGAGCTGGATGGAGATATTCCACTCGGGGGCTCGTCACACCACCGCGAGTGGCGACTTCGGGCGCAGCAAGAGGTGGCGGTATCAAAAAAACTCGCCTCGTCCTCCTGCTACGTGGCTCCCGTCGTCGGCAGCTCACTGTCTACGTACTGGCCCTGGAGACAACCCTCAAGGGGTCGCTCCAGGCCTCTCTTTCGCCCAAAAGTACTCGAAAAACAAGAAAAAGTCAGGAGCAGAAAAATTTCAAACTGCCTCCTTGGGCAGCTTACTGAAACACACACACACACACACACACACACACACACACACACACACACACACACACACACACACACACACACACACACACAAGTGATTTTACACATAAGAAGAAATATGTGCAATAATCCTGCAATCTCATTACACGATTTTCTTACGAAAATTTATAGTTGTAGCGACTTCGGGGCAGTGTTAAGTCAAGTATACGAAATCTGACAGGTTCGTCTCCACCAGTGCTTGGAGCGATTCTAAAGCTTGTTCTTTTTCGCGCAAGCCATGGAAGGGCTTGCTGGCAACTGCTCTGACTCAACATGATTGTCGGACATGAAGTGGAGCTCCATTCCAGTGCTTATTTCGGTCCCCCCCCTTCTACACACACACACACACACACACACACACACACACACACACACACACACACACACACACACACGCACACACACACACACACAAACGCACGCATCCATACACCGGGTTATTACACCCGAATGCACACAAAGAAAGACATGCATTTGAGCGGTACAATACACATAACAATCCCCAAGCAAGTTATTCCCGATGTCTCGGGTTGCGTCTGCCTATCAGCTTGCTCGGTGACACAACGTCGGGACATCATCTCCTTTCTCTCGTCGTGTTTACCTCTGCAATGCCCTGAATCAACTTTCGCTATCCTGAGTGGTGATATAATTCATTCGAAAGTTTATTTACCTTTCTGTAACTTGCACGGACTTACCTCGAAGATGTTATGGCGTATATAACCATCACAGAACCACCTCCAACCGCCAGGTTCAGCACAAGGCGAATTATTAGCGAAACAACACCCATCCTCTACGTTCGGTTGAACGGTGGATGCAAATCACAGCCTCACAGAGATGTGCAGCAGACGAAGAAGAGAACTGCAGATCTACGAAGCACCCAGCTCTTTCCCGGTTTGATGCTCATCGAGTCCCGTGCTAGATGGAGCAAGTGCATGATTACAGGCTGTAGGTGTATGTGACCCCAAGGCTGCAGTCATGTTGTGGTGGGACATGCCATAATAATGATGGCATGTCCCCCCACAATATATCATAGTGTGCAATATAATGGGTGGCTTACATAATTATATGATTTTATGTGTCAGTGTTGTATGTGTGCTGCATTTCATAACTCTACAGAGAACACCCGCCTATTGGACTCTCTGATCATGCTGTCGTCCAAGTTGACTTTCCTGTGAAGCTCACCCGTGAGCCCAAGACATCGCGTAGAGTCTGGCGATACCACCGCGCAGACTGGGAGCGGCTTGCCCACTTCTACCGAACAACAGACTGGGAGAGCATGCTCGGACCTGAACCGGATCCTCTTGGTGATGTTGTCGCAGCTGAGATCCGGCTGAGATCCTGAACCGGATCTCAGCTGCGACAACATCACCAAGAGGATCCTCGAAGGAATGGCACAATTCATACCCAACAGAGTTATCTCATCGCGCCCCTCCGACCGGAGTGTACAGCTGCAGTCAACACCAAGCGACAGATGTGGCACCAGATGCGCTCAAATCCCGACAGTGCTGATAAGAAAGCACACTACCGCACAGCTGCAGCCTCTGCACGCAGTACCATCCAGCGAAACAGAGAACGGCATATTACCATGCTCCGGCAGAAACTCACCACTGGTGAGTCCACTATCAAGCGTGCGGGTGGCAAGGGCCGCAGCGCTGATATACCAACACTCCGATCTGCTGATGGAACTGAGTACACAACCAGTCAGGAGAAGGCCAAGTGCCTTGGTCAGTACTTCGCCGATAAGTGCAGCCTCGGCCCACAGGACTTCAATGAGGAATCTGAATTCCCCTTTGTCCAGCCTCGCTCCCAAAGCCGTCTCCTAAGTATTCGCTTCCGCCCTGCTGAGGTCCGTAAATTGCTGAGGGCCCTTGATCCTTCGAAAGCGTCAGGCCCTGATGCAGTTCCGGGCAGAGTCCTCAAAGCCAACGCTGAGCACCTTGCAGTGCCACTATGCTTGCTCTTCCGCCAGTGCATGACGTCGGGGACACAACCACAGTCTTGGAAAGTGGCAAGTGTCGTCCCAGTCCATAAGAAACGGTCAAAGTCAGCCCCATCGAACTATCGGCCCATTTCCCTCCTGTCGCTCATCTCCAAGACAATGGAAGCAGTTGTTAACCGTGCTCTCACCAACTTTCTCGAACGAAATAATTATACTCTCAAACCACCAGTTCGGTTTTCGTCGAGGGTTAGGACCTGCTGATCTCCTAACAGGACTACACCACCAATGGAGCAAGATAGCAGCTGCTGGCGGTGCTGTACGTATTGTTGCCGTCGACATTGCGGGGGCCTTCGATAAAGTCTCCCACGCAGGTGTCCTTCACAAGGCAAAGGCTTACGGAGTGTCCGGGAACCTCCTCAAGTGGCTCCACAGCTACCTGGCGGATAGACGAATCCAGGCCGTTGTGAGTGGACAAACCTCACCTAAATTCCGAATCAGCTCAGGTGTGCCGCAAGGGAGCATACTGGGCCCCACTCTGTTCCTCCTATATGTCAATGACATGGAGGACCACCTCCCAGCCACAACCCAGCTCGCCATATATGCAGATGACACCACGCTTTATCAGTGCATCCCATCCCTGACCGCTCTCCCAGTTGGCCTAGCGCAGCTCCAGACTGCTGTGGATGCCTTAGCTGAATGGGGCCAGAGCTGGAAGATCGCATTCGAGCCGACAAAGTCGCAAGTCTTGACAATTTCGCATCACCGTCAACCCTGGCCGATTCCTCCAGCCACTTTCAATGGGGTGGCCATAGAGGAAGTGGAGGAGCTGAAGTTGCTCGGAGTGCTCTTTGATCGGAGCCTCTCCTTTCGCTCCCACATTCGACAGGTTGCAGTCCGTGGTCACCAACGTCTTGGCTTCATGAGGAAGGCCCTGCCCATTCTCGACAGCAAGGCCAAGTATGCAGTGTATCGCGGCTTCGTCCGCCCAGTACTTGAGTACTGCCCGCTTTCATGGTTGGGTGCGTCCCAGTCTACCCTGAACCAGCTGGACCGGGTACAGCACCGAGCCCTAAAGCTCATCGGCCCAGGGTCATACCTCCCAAGCCTCACTGTTCGGCGTCAAGTCGCAGCACTCACATTCCTGTACAAGCTGCATTGGATCGACGGTCCCCCAATCCTGACCACCATGACACCACCGAGGGCAGTTGCAAACCAGCACCGGCGCTCCACTCGCCACCAGCAAAAGAACCAGCACCAGCACCAACTAGCACCGACACTGCCCGCCGGAGCCCGTAATAGTGCTCTCCGATCATTCCCCCATGCCACGATCCAAGACTGGAATCGTCTCCCATCTGCCCTGCTACGCAACCTTCCCACGCAGAAGGGAATGCAGGCATTCAAGGAAGGCGCCTACAAGTCGCTCCGCAGCCGAGACTGGCGTTCAGCCACAGATGCCCTCTGAACACTCCCTGAACACCCTCTCTGCTTGCACCCTGGCTCCCCCCTTTTATTTATTTATTTTTTTATTATTTTTTTTATTTATACAAATAATCTACGTGGAGATAAAAGTTTAATAATAGCAATGAAAAGTATGAATGCCGCAGACATCACCACGCAACATGACAATTTGTTCAAGGTTTGGTTTTGTGTGTTTCCAAAATCGATTTTCACGTTCCGATCATCAGTGGAAATACGGAACTAAAGAGATCAAGGGAAAAACAAAGGTTAAAAATCCAAAGAAGTGTGACACATGTAGCTCTACGGTCCGGCACAGTGGCAGTCATGCACATGATGCAGATCTGACAATACATGTACCGTCAGGGGCGGATCCAGGAGGGGTTCCAGGGGTTCCGCGGAACCCCCTAAATTTCGTGAATGTACTACTGGCAACCATCTGCGTGTCCATGTACATGTAGATCTACATGTATCCGACTGAGCTACTAGCATTCAGTTTTGAGTCTTTTGACTATACATGTACTGGAACCCCCCTCTAGAGATCGCTGGATCCGCCGCTGGTACCGGTTAATTAATGTCGCCGCAATCACCTCAACGTCTCTGGAAAGCACACTCCAAAACCATTCCTATGGATCATTCTCGTTGCGATGGGATAGTCCGATCCCGAGGCATCCCTATCCTGATAATCCAGTGTGTCTGTCAAGGCGAGTGATTGCACGAATGCTATTAAAGTGTGAGGCTTCCACGGCGAATACCGGTACTCAAAGTATTCTCATCATCAACGGGAACGAATACAGGCACATTGCAAGTGCTACAGTAAGCGGAGGCAGTGGGTGGGGAACTGCTCGACACACCGCGACACCGCGGAGTGTGTAGAAAACGTGCACCCAGTTTCACTGTCTGTTGGATTCCCACTAGTAGTAGTATGGTTGTGCTGCTGAAACCAGGGAGTAGTAAAGTACCGGTATTTTACTACTCCCTGTCCCTGCAGCACACAATTATGTCATCGGCGCATTGGGCAGCCAAGCTGAATAGATGAAAAACAAGTCACATCACACTGCTACTGTAGTATCCCTGCCCGACCGGAAGCAGTACGGAACTAATACGGAGCTTGCCTGATGTATATTTAGTGTATCTCCGTATGTAAGCGTACGTCGTCTGCTGCATAAAAGCGGCTGCGCATTTCTGTTTTGATGAAGAGAAGATTAGATTAGATTGGATAGCAATGAAAGCTAACTCGAAGAATAAGGATTCAGCCTCTAGGTGAGCACCGGAGAGAAAGTCAGTTATTTTGCCGCTTCTTCTTTCACGAACGAGTATATCTCAGGTGTGTACCTGAAAGTAGAATAAAAGTAATTGTTGTTGATTTCACCGCGCCTACCACTCGGCTAACCATTACATTGGTGGCAGCGGTGTGTTTTTGTAAAATAAAACAACGTGATTCGACCCCAGACCCCCATGGCTCAACCCGCTGCAGCTCCGTGCGACGAATCAAGATGAGAATCGTGTTTCATGCTTTCCTGGGCCTGGCCGATGGCGATTCCAAGCAACCCGCTACCTACATGTATACTACCGGTGGTGATGGCGAAGCTGATGAGGACGACGACATGCAGGCTGCTGACCAAGACAAGGAGGGTATTCCCCAAGACCAGCAGCGTTTGATTTTTGCCGGCGCGTAGTTGGCAGACGGCCGAACCCTGAGTGACTACAACGTTCAGCAGGAGTCCACTATTCACTTGGTACTTCGTCTCCGTGGTGGAATGCAGAATTTCGTCCACACTCTTCCTGGCTAGACCATCACTCTTTACGTTGCGCCAAGCGATGCTATCGACAATGTGAAGACCATGATTCAAGACGAGGAGGGAGTGATCTGTCTGACGCCGAGCTAGCCGCTCTGAGTGACCGGCCCAACCAAGATAAAGATAAAACCTGGCTCGCCCTCCGCCAATACTGGCCATAGCTCCAGCCGCCGCCGTGGTTACTAACGCTGATTCCAGGTATGGCATTTTCTTTCCTGTCTTCCTTCAGTCTCCCTTTTCTCTTCAGTCTTCCTTTATGCGAGTGTGTGAATCCAGTTTAGTTTGGTAGGCGTCTGATCATGGTGAGCCACGGCTTACCCAGCTAACGTGGGACAATGTGTGTGACAACGCCCCTTATAGTTATAGTGTATTCAGTTAGGTTTTTTGAACTGCGATGTTCTTGGCGGGTTGTGCCAGCGTTGTGCAGCAAGAGTGCTGTAGTTTTTCAGGTCCTATTTGGAGGACAGTTCTTTCCCCTTTTGACCCCGTGAGATGGTGTGAACCTGGTGTGCTTTTACTTCTACTTTATGATTTGTTATCAGTTCATTTCTTCTGTCTACTCTAAACGTTATCATTTCCGATATAATTTGCCATCTTCCGGTTGACGCTGTTGTTCGTAACTCCTCACTAATTTTTTGAAAATCACGAGGGCGTGATTATCTGTAGGAAGGGAGGGTGTAGTATCCCTGCCCGACCGGAAGCAGTACGGAACTAATACGGAGCTTGCCTGATGTATATTTAGTGTATCTCCGTATGTAAGCGTACGTCGTCTGCTGCATAAAAGCGGCTGCGCATTTCTGTTTTGATGAAGAGAAGATTAGATTAGATTGGATAGCAATGAAAGCTAACTCGAAGAATAAGGATTCAGCCTCTAGGTGAGCACCGGAGAGAAAGTCAGTTATTTTGCCGCTTCTTCTTTCACGAACGATTATATCTCAGGTGTGTACCTGAAAGTAGAATAAAAGTAATTGTTGTTGATTTCACCGCGCCTACCACTCGGCTACCTATTACACTACCAAACAATGTAAGATGCAGTGCATATGAACAGTTCAGAAGGATCCCACTCCGACTGATGTTGGACTTTGTTTGAAATACCCGCCAAGGCTACAGAACCATACAATGTGTAGTATAAAAGAGAGAGAAAGAGAGAGAGAGGGATAGAGAAATAGATAGAGAGAGAGAGAGAGAGATAGAAAGGGAGAAAGGGAGAAAGAGAGAGAGAGAGAGAGAGAGAGAGAGAGAGAGAGAGGGAGATAGGAACGTACTGTACTGCAATCGGATAAAAGGCACTTGAATTACGAAGCCGCAGCCGCGTGGAAGAAGCCTGAAGCCATTATTTAAAAAATTAAAAAAATACCCAATGCCGTATAAGAATGAACTCGGATGGAGAGCCAAGGATTAATTTATACAAAAAATTATTTAAAAAAATTATAGCTGTACATAGCTGTACATATAATAATTATATGCTAGATAAAAAATGTAATACTTGTAAATCCATCAATTCCTGCCAAGGTCTAAATCACACCGCCTGCCTGGGTGTCGCATTCGGATCATTGTCTTCAAAAGGTGGCGGGGGGTCGTCCCTGCAAGAGTCCTCAAATGTGCTGGGGTCGGCAAGAATATGCACACGGTCACTAGGGTCCGTTATGTCCCCGGATCCAGACTTCTGCTTGCGAAAAGCTCGCAGGTCCACAATGGCAAAGATCAGATGGAAGAGACAGCAACCCGAAACTATCCAGGATCCCATCTGTGTGAACACGAAAAACCCAATCCGCACGGATACATGCGCAAACACACATATAGCAGACAGAAACACCCACACGCACACACGTACAATATCTGAATGAAGCAGATCAAGACAATCACAATAATTAATATAGGTGCGTTGTCCACAAACATGTGTTAAGCCATGTGAATCTACCCCCAATGTGTGTACTTCTGTTCAACACCAGGCAAAGCACATCGGAGTAGGTGCCAAGGCTGCATCGATGAAACAAGCCTTTTGGTTGGGTTCAGAACGAGGCAGCTGTCTTGAAGCTACACAGTTGGCCTAGTCACTGCCATAGACAAACAAGCATTTCGTACTCGGACCCCCTCCCCTCTCTCAGGGGCATAAGAGCGGCCCGGCAGGTCCGGCGGCCGCCGGAAAAATGTTTCGCCAACAAACAAACAACAAGCCTGCAAACTAGTTTTCACCAATGCAGAGGGTCAATTCCTACTTACGCAGCACAACCTGTCAGGAAATGCTCAATCACCTGATGTTCCTGAATGTCCACAAGAAACTGCTGGACAGCTAGTGCCTGAAGAGTGCCGCACCGGAATTTGTCCGTGGAAAGGAGCATCAGCTCTCCCAATTCGGACAGTTTTTTAAGCGGAATATTGTCAATTCAAAGTCATGCACTTGCTTCTGCATGCACTTCAGGAGTACGTGTATACTACAGCTGTAGTATAGCCTCAAGTCTTCCATGATACCACAGTATTTGTTCATATCAATCCTTTTACAAGTAAAATCACCCTCTTCACTCAGTAGAGATAGAGTCGAGTGAGCAGTATTCCAGGTGCCGAAAAGTGGGCTCACCACCCCTATATGACCACTTCCCCATGTCTAACCCTCAAGACAAAATGAATACTGTAGTAGTCATACTGGGCGGAGTTGAAAATGAAAAAAATGCGACCTGCACGAGCTAAAAATCCGCCGTACCATTGGAAATCGAAAAAACGTTTGGGACAATCCCTTACCTGGGCAATGTTCATTGGTGAGTACCATTCGAAGCCTTCTGTGTCGTCAAGGTCATGGCGAAAAACAAACGTCTCGCAACTGTGTGGGAGGAATTGTTTCAAACACCAACCGAACACATACCCACACATCCACATGCCGTAACATGCGCGCGCACACACACACACACACATGCACATGCACGCACACCAAACACACAATACACATACCTTTAAACATACACACAAACACACACACACATAATTATATACACACTCATACACATACTCGTGCACAAACACACACACACACACACCCACACACACACACAAATGCCTACATGCGCCCCCCCCCCCCCACACACACAGGCACACTCCACTAAGCCATGCACACATCCAGAGCCACCCACCCAAATGCGACCACAATTAGACAATAACACGGTCGAAAAAGAGAATAATTCCAGAGGCCTCATTACACGCCGAAAGCATTCGGAAACACCAATGATAATACTTCATTCCAACACGTTTTCCACCCAAGGGATGGAGAGATAGAGATATGTAAGAGAGAGAGAGAGAGAGAGAGAGAGAGAGAGAGAGAGAGAGAGAGAGAGAGAGAGAGAGAGAGAGAGAGAGAGAGAGAGAGAGAGAGAGAGCGAGAGAGAGCGAGAGAGAGAGAGAGAGAGAGAGAGAGAGAGAGAGAGAGAGAGAGAGAGAGAGGGAGAAAGGGAGAGAGAGAGACAAAGAGAGATAGGTATTGTGAAAGAGAGGGTAAAAGAGACAGAGAGAAAGAGAGAGAGAGAGAGAGAGAGAGAGAGAGAAAGAGAGAGAGAACAGAGAGAGAGAGGGACAGAGAGAGATTACGGATGCCCAGCGAACGCGAGCGCAGGCATCGTTCCGCACACTATCCAGTGTCCTGGATGGCACGTACGCCTGCTCATTGCACCACACAGCAGGAGCAGCAGCAGCAGAAGCAGTAGCAGCAGAAGCAGCAGTAGCAGCCACAGAGGATGCGACTGCCACCGACCAAGATAGTCAGACAGTGAGCAAGGAGCGTGCACTGGACGAATCGGTGCATGACCTGGGCCCTATCGTGGATGGAGCGCAAGCGAAAGAAGAGGATGGTCAACCTGGGAATACGGCTGAGCAGTAAGTGAGATTTGATTTCAGAACATGATTGAGCTGACAGCTGTCCGAATGCTAATTTATTGTGCATCGGAAGAGGTTACTTTGGGCGTAAGAGTTGTGTGTGTGTGTGTGTGTGTGTGTATGTGGTGTGTGTGATGTGCGTGTGTGTGCGTGTGTTTGCTGTTTGTGAAAATTCATGCATGGTTGCCGGCAGTTTGTGAAGTGTAAAATAATCAGATTATGGGTTTCAGACTGTCACACAGCCATTCATTTGTTCTTGAACACGTTTTTGCCAGAGGTGTGCAAGGCCCGAAGCCTTCAGAGCTATCCAAACTGCCTCACTTCGCGCCAATTATGCAGATGCCCGGGCCAGCAACTGATCTGCAGGTGAGTTACGCTGTGCTAGGTTGTACACACACCATCATGGCCACCCAGCCCCCCCCCCCCCCGCACACCCACACACACACACACACCCACAAACACACCATTGGACATTGAACGCCCATCGCCGGAGGCGATGATAGCGATGCTACAGCAGAAGCCATAGCAACCTGTGCTTGGATTGCACCATTCAACAGCTTGCAAGGCTGAAGAATTGGCCGCCACTATTCAGCCTGGTCTACACCGCACAGCTATGAAGTGGCTTTTTTTGGCCAGTGAAACACACACACACACACACACACAAACACATCCCTACCGCCATATCCGCTTCCATTTTATTTCACCTGATGATGGACAAAAAGGAAGAGACAAGCCTACCTAGTGTGGAGGATTTTCTGTGACAAATAAAAGATGGTGAAAAAGGAGAAGGACAAAATGTTACGAGTTATGACTAACTGTCCACCAACGTAACCAGATCTTATGCAGTCAGCGAGTGCGACAAAATGGCACAAAAGTGACAAGGAGTACTGAGACATTCGGCGACCTGACACCTAGCTCCAACACTCCTCCAAGGCGCAAACCAACAACCTTCCAAATTGGAAGGCTCAGGTTCAGAAAGGTCCAAGAGGGGAAGGAAAGCGCAACGAAGAAGAGCATGAGCTACGCATCACGGCAACAAAGAATGCCGAAAGTTACTATGATGACGAAACTAGTAAGACTATTGACATACCGGCCATACTACAACTCGACGGGTTCCCCTCGTAGACCTTTCCGAACCTGAGCCTTCCAAGCTGGAGGGTTGTTGGTTTGCGCCTTGGAGAAGTGTTGGAGCTAGGTGTCAGGTCGTCGAATGTCTCAGTACTCCTAGTCAGTTTTGTGCCATATTGTCGCACTCGCTGACTGTATAAGATCTGGTTACGTTGGTGGACAGTTAGTCATAGCTGGTAGCATTTTGTCCTTATCCTTTTTCACCGTAATCTAATTGGCTCACCGTCCGAGTTGAACAAATAATTATACTAAGACAACACAGGCACACAATGTTACGTGCTTGCATTGCAGGGGTCGGCACAATATACGTTTTACTGAAGTATTACCTCTGGTAAAGCTTATCCCTTTGTGAAGGTCCCTGGTTCGAGTCCTGGTAGTTACAGTCAACGTTTTAGACTTTCCCCTATTCCATTCCCTCAAAATTGAATAGTGAACATCCCTGTATTCGCAGCCATTACAAGGCTCCTGTGTGATGATCTGTATTGCCTCAGGTCGATCGTTCCCCGCTAGAAGCTGTGATTCAGTCAAGCGTGCTGCGTCTACGTGTGGAGCACACATTCAGAGAACTTTGGCCAAGCTTGGCGCAAGACATGGTGCTGGATAAGCTGCTGGAAATGTGGCATGTGGCCGAGTACGAACGTAAGAAGCGAGAGTTCCTGTTCGATGATCGGAAGCCTGACTAGCTTCTGCCAGACTCTACAGTACAGACCTTGAAACGATCCGCTCATTGTCTGTACAAGCATTGCACAGTATCCGTTTGCAGTTGCTAGTCAAGGCTGTGAAGGAACACCATCATAACAATACCCACCATCTCCTAGTGAAAAAACCCACTTGAACATCGTGATCACCAGAAATGTTCAATTTTCAAACTTGATTCATCTCCGTTTTTATAAACCGATTCCACGCAGACTATGGCGTCCCTGCTTCTTGGTCTCCTCGCTAGCCTAGATTTCCATCCAACTATCATAATTATTGAGTTAATATCAGGCAATGTTATTTAAAATACATCTTCGCCTATGTAGACAAAGTGTCTCAGGTCCTTGCTGCAAAATGGTGCTCAATACCCTAATACGGGCAGAGTGTGCTACATAAGGCAGAGCAACAGCCACCAGCATCTTTCCTGTGACTCTGAGGTTATGCGATACACGTCATATAGTACGTTTGCCACACCAAATTCTTCTATATAAGGGTTTCTGTACGCGCTTTGGGCATTTTGCCACCCCAACTGGCTCCTATAATAAATGGCGGATTTGACGTGATCGCATAACCTTTTACACAGTGCTGATCACTAAGTCTGATCATGTGAGTCGATGCCGTGGCCTACGCTGTGCTGCACCTGCAAATGTGAAGACCATGGTGTAAACAGGTGCGTAGTGTAGAGGTAGACTTCTTCAGTCATGTGACAGGATTTCATTTTACATATCCACTCGGTTTATCGCATTCCCAACTCGTCACAACCACGCGCTCTCAGCCGAACCACACAGACACCAGCAACGACACTTCCGTTCAGAGATAATACGGAGGATTAGCAAGACGAAATTCGCGTTCGCGTTCGCACTCCAAGGAAAGTCGAACTCGGTGACGGAATTCGCGTTATGAGAAGGATTAGCAAACAGAATTCGCACATGCATGATGTTGACACGATATACAAGTACAGCGTAGTAAATTTATGACTGCTCTGACACGAATCCGCGATTCGTGTTCCGACTACTTTTCCGAACGAAAACTGCGAAAGTTCGCAATCCAGTTCGCGACCTGAAAAATGTTTGCGAACGCGAACACGAATTTCGTCTTGCTAATCCTCCGTAATATGTCCACGCCTCTAGACAGCTGTTTCGCTCCCTGCCGGAGCTCATCAGTAGAGGATGATAATGATATCCACTGGGGGTAAAAAAGAAACGTGTCCCATTCCAAAGTTTTTAGAATTTCTAATAGTACTAGAATTTTTCTCTATTATAGCTTGCTATATCTTGATTACATGGCAAGTGCTGATAGAAGTACTGAAAATACATGGTTAACGTATGGTGCCTACGTAAAGGCTAAAACTCCACTCCATCCCAGGGAATAATTCAAATGCAATTTGGCGAAAACTTGAAATAGAAAACAGTGCACAAGAACAGGAGAGAATGATAATGCCACTTTCAGTAAGGGCGATCGTTGTTCAAAATATAGCTATGCCTTGCTAAAGGAGCATATGTATAACAGAGAGAAGAACATGTTATACCACCGCCAGGTAAGAAGCATTCGAAAGCTGCGGGCGGTTGAGCGCAGCATTTCAAATTTATGGGGGCATTTCAAATATTTATAATGTATATATCCACCAATACCTGCCAAGCCTGAAATCACACGGCCTGCTTGGCAGTTGGCTTCGGGTCCTTGTCTTCAAACGGTGGCGGGTCGTCCCTGAAAGAGCCCTCGAATGTGGTAGGGTCGGCAAGTATCTGCGCACGGTCACTAGGGGCAGTTATGTCCACGGATCCAGACTTTTGCTTGCGGTAAGCTCGCAGGTCAAGAATGGCGAAGATCAGATGGAGGAGCCAGCAACCTGAAACTATCCAGGATCCTATCTGTAAACACACAGACAAAATCACCAATGTGTGCAAGCTAAGTTCCACATCAGCAGAGAATGCCGACCGTTACAGGGCAATGGCGAGACTAGTTGAGAACTTGACAATACAATCTAACTACCATTCGAAGCAGGAAAGCAACACACAAACCAACTTTGGTGAATCGACTGATATTCACAAGAAAGCATTCCTTAAAGCCATCACACCGTTCTCTGGCCAGCTTTGAAGATAGGAAGTGGGGTCTCTTCAGCCCCTCCCCCTTTCAATTGGACTCACCTGAGCGATGTTCAGTGTTGGGAACCATTTGTAGCCATTTACAGGGATTGTCTTGCAATTCCTGTTGAAAGGAATTTTTGGAGCCACACCACCACATGTTGCCCAACACAAGCACAAACAAGCAGATTACAATCAGGCGACAGATTATAAAGACAGCTTTATCATAATTATTGCAATGAAGCGGGACGGGGGGTTGGAGCATTTTCTGAAACACAAGCGGAGAGAGAGGTAGATCTTATCTAGCTCATGCTGAATGACAGAGTGAACAAGCGAGGGAGAGAGAGAGAGAGAGACAGACAGAGAGAGAGAGAGAGTGACACACACACGCAGAAGCACAGACAGGCAGATATACAGACGATTGGACAGACAGACGGACAGACAGACAGACAGACAGACAGAGACGCAGAGACTTAGATTAACAGAGGAATATAGCTATCAATTTCGATAGATAGACATATTACACCTAGGTAGATAAGTTACACGGTGGATAGATACATAGATGGATACGTTTGATAGAAAAGGTAGAGAAAAAGCCAGAGAGATATACAGACGAACAGACAGTATCCAGATTCACTTACGGGTTTCCCTCGTCGATATCGCTCAGGTTGCCGCAAAACACTAATATGCCACCTGATATGATGATTGTGGCGACGAGTGCCAAAATCAGCAAAACGATAAGGAAGATCACCTCAGCAATGACTCGACTGCTATGGCTGTACAGACACAGAAAACACAACGGAATTGTCCTCTATACACATGAATCCATGTACAACTGTACATTATTATTAGTATTATTATTATTTGAAACTCGGATGTTGAGCCATAAATAAATGTGGAAGAGAAAAGGACATATGGATACGAGTTAAGAGTAACTCTCCATCACTGTAACATGATACTATATACAGTCAGAAAGTGCAATAACTAGGCACAAAACTGACAGAGTACTGAAACATTCGACGTCCTGACACCTAGCTTCAACACATCTCCGTAGCGCTAACCGACAGCCGGTCGGTTAGCGCTACGGAGATGTGTTGAAGCTAGGTGTCAGGACGTCGAATGTTTCAGTACTCTGTCAGTTTTGTGCCTAGTTATTGCACTTTCTGACTGTATATAGTATCATGTTACAGTGATGGAGAGTTACTCTTAACTCGTATCCATATGTCCTTTTCTCTTCCACATTATTATTATTATTATTTGGAAAGGATTGGGAGAACTTCATATTCAAAGGATCAGTCGGGGAAGTGAACTGCCTGAAAAGAGAAAAAAACGCCAGACCCACCAGGACTCGAACCTGGGACCCTGCTTGTCATGAGCAATGCTCTAACCACTGAGCTATGGGACCAGGCTGAACCTAGAAGGCGCTGACAAGTTTTCACTCCAAAGGCAGCTCACAACACGTGCCACACATACTGATGGCACTTGGGTCTTTTTCCCTCCCCCAGGGGACCAACCACGGTCAGTTTCTGGAAACTACCAGAGGTGAAAGAAAGTGATTAAATTTGGAAAGGATTGGGAGAACTTCAAATTCAAAGGATCAGTCGGGGAAGTGAAGAAGTTTTTTTTCTCTTTTCAGGCAGTTCACTTCCCCGACTGATCCTTTGAATTATTATTATCATTATTATTATTTGGAAAGGATTGGGAGAACTTCATATTCAAAGGATCAGTCGGGGAAGTGAACTGCCTGAAAAGAGAAAAAAACGCCAGACCCACCAGGACTCGAACCTGGGACCCTGCTTGTCATGAGCAATGCTCTAACCACTGAGCTATGGGACCAGGCTGAACCTAGAAGGCGCTGACAAGTTTTTCACTCCAAAGGCAGCTCACAACACGTGCCACACATACTGATGGCACTTGGGTCCTTTTCCCTCCCCCAGGGGACCAACCACGGTCAGTTTCTGGAAACTACCAGAGGTGAAAGAAAGTGATTAAATTTGGAAAGGATTGGGAGAACTTCATATTCAAAGGATCAGTCGGGGAAGTGAACTGCCTGAAAAGAGAAAAAAACGCCAGACCCACCAGAGGACTCGAACCTGGGACCCTGCTTGTCATGAGCAATGCTCTAACCACTGAGCTAAAAGAGTGAAAAACTTGTCAGCACCTTCTAGGTTCAGCCTGGTCCTATAGCTCAGTGGTTAGAGCATTGCTCATGACAAGCAGGGTCCCAGGTTCGAGTCCTGGTGGGTCTGGCGTTTTTTTCTCTTTTCAGGCAGTTCACTTCCCCGACTGATCCTTTGAATATGAAGTTCTCCCAATCCTTTCCAAATTTAATCACTTTCTTTCACCTCTGGTAGTTTTCAGAAACTGACCGTGGTTGGTTCTCTGGGGGAGGGAAAAAGACCCAAGTGCCATCAGTATGTGTGGCACGTGTTGTGAGCTGCCTTTGGAGTGAAAAACTTGTCAGCGCCTTCTAGGTTCAGCCTGGTCCCATAGCTCAGTGGTTAGAGCATTGCTCATGACAAGCAGGGTCCCAGGTTCGAGTCCTGGTGGGTCTGGCGTTTTTTTTCTCTTTTCAGGCAGTTCACTTCCCCGACTGATCCTTTGAATATGAAGTTCTCCCAATCCTTTCCAAATTTAATCACTTTCTTTCACCTCTGGTAGTTTCCAGAAACTGACCGTGGTTGGTCCCCTGGGGGAGGGAAAAAGACCCAAGTGCCATCAGTATGTGTGGCACGTGTTGTGAGCTGCCTTTGGAGTGAAAAACTTGTCAGCGCCTTCTAGGTTCAGCCTGGTCCCATAGCTCAGTGGTTAGAGCATTATTATTATTATTATTTTTGAAAGGATTGGGAGAACTTCAAATTCAAAGGAACAGTAGGGGAAGTGAACTGCCGGAAAAGAGAAAAAATCGCCAGACCCACCAGGACTCGAACCCGGGACCTTGCTTGGACCTTGCTGCCTTTGGAATGAAAACCTTGTCAGCGCCTTCTAGGTTCAGCCCGGTCCCATAGCTCAGTGGTTAGAGCATTGCTCATGACAAGCAAGGTCCCGGGTTCGAGTCCTGGTGGGTCTGGCGATTTTTTCTCTTTTCCGGCAGTTCACTTCCCCTACTGTTCCTTTGAATTATTATTATTATTATTATTATTTCAGAATTACAGATGGAGCGGACTCGCTCCCTTCTATTTACACTGCAACGTTCGAACACATTTTCGTAGTTAAAACAACGTTTCAGCATATAGCCCTCATCAGGTTTGCAATGATGTGCACTCTACAAAGGAGCAGCAAATATACTGTGCTGTGCTGGGTTTGCGCCAAATGTGTCAGCTACAAAGGTGGCGAAAGGGATTGGTGATATATTAATATCCAGATACGATAATTATATTCACAGTAGTGCCCAGCCAGCATTAGTGTTTACTTGCGGCCGCAAGTTGCGGATTTCAACAGCTTCTCGCAGTTTTCTGCTTGCTCTGTCGCCTGCCCTTGCCAGGACTGACACAGCCGAGAACACATTG